CCGCGGGCTCAATCCAGGTTGAAACAGGAGCAGCAGGCACGGGTCCAGCCTTGGGCGCCCAGCAGTGCTTGGAACCCATCTAGATCCAACCGATGATAGTGCCCAGCGCAGCAAGAAGGATCCATTCAAAAGTCCAGGAAGGCTGGCTGTGATTATGAGGTCAAAAACTGGTGGCCTGCAGCTAGAGTACTGTTTTACCTGCTAATGATATTTTGATGAATGATTTAAGTACCATGATAAGTCGTGGTACTTAAAATTCACATCAGAAATCCAGATTTCGGCTTTTTCAGGAAAAATTAGGAAATGTAGGTCCACGTGTCCGCAAAAGGACAACGTGCTGGAGCAAAATGGGACTACACCTCTACAATCGCTTTCCTCCTCTGACCTAACCTCTACCTGGCCACTAATTTCATTTGGCAGTTGTTAATGACACCTGATACACATCTCCCAAGGTGTAATGTTGATTAGTTGCTCCTTTATTTTAAGAGGCTGTCCTCTTGAATGAACTTATTCAGAATTAAGTACTAAGACATCTTTTATGGATCATATATTTTAATTACTTTTATCATTAATACATTCTTGTATGTTTGGGCATACAGTTCATGCTTTGATATCCATCCTCATGGGAATTGGTTCTAAGATTCCCCCTCTGCACCAAAATCAGAGGATGTTCAAGTCCCTTTTAGAAAATGGCACAATTTTTGCATATAACCTATGCACACTCTCTCATACTTTAATAATCTCTATATTACTTTCATGTAATATAATATAAATGATATGTAAATAATTGTTACATCTATTGCTTAGGAAATAATGAGAAGAAAAATGTCTGTGCACATTCAGTAAAGATGAAACTTTTTCCAAATTTTGCCCCACAGTCGAATCTGTGCATGTGGATGTCTGAATACAGAGGGGGGCGGGGTCATGCCTGTTCCTTCCCAAGGAGTGTTCCCTGCTAGAGATTTACCTATACCTGGCCAAATAAGGACATGTACATTCCCCCTGGACCTCCGTGAGGATTGGGATTTTTATAAGCTATAGTCACTGCCAAATCCCCAGCATCTAGAATAGTGCACACAGGGAGTAGGGTAGTTAATTCATGAGATAATAAATATTTGTTCTTTTTTTGTTTGTTTGGGCGGTGGGTGTTGGTACCACGAATTGAACTCAGGACCTTGCACTTGCCAGGCAGGCACTTATGCCACTGAGCTATTTCCCTGGCTGAATATTTGTTCTAAAACATGAAATTGAGTCATGAAGAATGAGTAGAATTCCCAGAGGGGAAAGGCATTCTCAGCAAAAGGAAAGAGAGATGCAAAGGTAGAGAAGATGCCTGAAAGTGTAAGGAACACAACAGTTTTCAACACATGAGAAATATGGTTTGAGAGGAGGATTGGCTGAGGCCCAATGCAAAGGGCTTTCAATTTCCAGCTAAGCAACATGGCCTTTTGGCCAAACTCAGTGGGGTAACATTAAGAATGTCAATAACTTGGCTACAATGAGAAGAGACTGGAGGGTAGTCTAGTAGGAAGACTGAATTCATTATGACCAGATAAGAGATGGCAAAGCCTAAGCCTAGGAAGCCTCCGCAGGGGAAGAGGGTCAGAAGTGTCAGCCAGAGACCAGACGTGAACAGCTATTCCATGGGAAGCCAGTGAGACAGAAGTTGAGAACAGCGTTCTGTGGGGTAGAACTACTCCATCACTCTCGTGGAGTGGAGAAAACTAGATGAAGACTAAGATGAGGAGTCCAGGGTTAGCTGGAGTCCCTGTGGCAGCAATGTGGTTAAAGTTGAAATTGGCATCCCTGGTAGAGAATTGAGCAGAGGCATCACTGCGGTAGCAGGAGAGTACAAATTTAGGAGGGGATCCTTGTTTTTTTTTTTTTTTTCTTTTTTTGGTTTTTCTCCGGTACCGGGAACCAAACTCATGACCTTGCGCTTACCAGGCGGGCGCGTTTTGCCGCTGAGCTAAATCCCCAGCCCCAGGAGGGGATCCTTGTGACTGGGACTTTGAGGGAAAGAAGATGAGCTGTTGGCCATTGGCCTGGTGGTGGCTCAGGCCCAGGTCCCAGCACCCGGAGCTCATCTTGGACATCTTGCTTCTCTCTGAGCCTCAGTTTCCTGACCTGTCAAATGTGAATGATGAGCACCACTCATAAAATGGTTTTGAGGATCAAATAAAGGCTTGTCAGGAGGAGACCCTGGAAACTGTAAATATTCTACAAATCCTAGGCCTGGATCCATGGCAGTCATCACTCACATCACATACTCTACAACCCTCTCATAGGCACTTTAATAAAACCACCACTGGCAGTACTCCAAGCCCAAAAGTAACATCTTCCCCACCCTTAACAAGCATCAAGTCTGACTGAATCCTTCAGTCTGCGTGATCTGAACCAAGTGTCTAAAAAGAGATGAATCAAGGCTGGAAAAAGAGGTATATTAATTAGGACCATAATAGCTGCTATAACAAGTAAGTCCTGGCTGGGCGTGGTGGTGTATACCTGTGATCCCAGCACTCAGGAGGCTGAGACAGGAGGATTGCCACAAGTTCAAGGCCAGCTTGGCCTACATAGTGAGTTAAAGGCCAGTCTAGCCGGGCATGATGGCGCATGCCTATAATCCCAGCACTTGGGAGGCTGAGGCAGGAGGATCGTTGTGAGTTCGAGACCAGCCTGGCTACAAAGTGAGCTCAAGGCCACCTGAACTCCATAGAGACCCTGTCTCAAAAAGACCAAAAAAAAAAAAAAAGGCCAGCCTGAACTACATAGCAAGACCTGCCTCAAAAAAACCAATTAATTAATTAATGAATCAATTAAAATTTAAAAACACGTAATGTGTACAACAGCTCAAAGAATTTATTTCTGGAGGACTCTCCTAACTGTCCAAAGCTGGTACCGCAGGCTGGTGAATGGCATGCTTCCACACACTACTGCTCAGACTTAAATCCTTCCTTCTTATGACTCCATGATCCCACAGGGCCTCATCCTCTTCTGTATCCATCCTGCTAATGCAGAAAGAGAGTTCATGGCACACACCCGGTTCTTCAAAGTCTTGACCCAGAAATGGCACATCACTTTCAATTGATGGGAACTAGTCACATGACCACACTTAAATGTAAGGGATCCTGGAAAATTAAGCTTAGCCCTGTGCCTAGGAGGAAGAGGACACGAACTGGTGGTGAGGGCTTGCCATTGAGGTCATAGCCTTAGAAGAGGGCAGTGGGGCTGTAACTAGATTATGGAGAAGTAGGTGTTGCCTTGACTCTATAAAAGGAGTAACCCAATCCAGAGTGGTGGGTGACTTGATGTCTTTAAGTACTCGTATGCTTAGAGTAAAATGTAAATCCTTGTAATGGGAACACACATGTGTAAGAAGGAGGCAACCTGATGACTCTGGTTAAATGACCTGAGATCATCTGGGGCTAGGTTACATGTGAGGGTAGTGTCTTGGTTACCTTTCTCTTGTTGTTGAGACAAAATATGGAGGAAAAGGTTTATTTAGCTCACAAACTGTGAATGTTTCAGTCCATAATCAGCTGGCTCCAAGGCTGGGTGGTGTGGTAAGGGGCAACAGTTCATGTTGGGGGGAAGATAGCAAAAGCAACAAGAACAAAAAGGGGAGGAGAGAGAAACCAAGCCTCTTTCTATCCTTTATATGATATGCAGGCTACCTGCCCCAGGGCAGGTGTAGCACTCACACCCATAATCCTAGCATTAGCCCATGAATCAATCACAAACACTAGAAGCCCACCCCCAGACTGCATGAGGCTTTGGGGGGACATCTAGACACAAACCATAACAGGTAGAGAGCTATCCTTCAGCTAGCAGTACTTACTAGGCTTCAATTGTGTCTCCCTAAAGTTCATATAGTTTGACACAATAACCACAATGTGATGGTATTTGGAGATATGTATTAGAGATGACGTCTTTGGCAGGTAATCAGGTCATGAGTAGAGATCACTTATGATGGGATTCATGCCCCTAGAAGAAGAGACAGCATGGTGCATGTTTCCTCTCTCTCTGCTCTCTGCTACACGAGGACATAGCAAAATGATGGCCACCTGCAAACCAGGAAGAGAGACTTTATCAGACACAGGACCTGCCAATACAGACCTGCTCTTGGACATCCTAGCCTTCAGAATTGTGAGAAATACATATCTGTTGCTTAAACTGCTTAGTCTATGGTATTTTTCTTACAGCAGTCTGAGCTGCTATACCAAGATGGGAATTCTATGTGAGTGAGGACACATGTACTTATGCCATTGGCATAGTTGTACCTGATCACCCCCTACTCAGATGAGCAAGTGCATATCTGATGACACATGTCAGTGAGGTATCTGAATACACACACCTGTGTGCAGGCATTCCTGTCACATGTGTCTGTCCAAGAGACTATGCATGCACAGGACTGAGTGCCCAGCTACTCCTCCCAGGGAAGAGCTCTTGTGTTTATAACATGCACACCTGAGTCCACCTGCCTGAACATCTGGGCACATGCACAGATAGGTGTCTGGAATCAGGGGTAGTAACTCTGCAAATGCACAACTGCCCAGGGCAGGGATGCTGAGCATACACATACCCAGCACACAGTAGGGATGAGATAAGTGTGTGTTGAGTAAAGCACATGCACAGCTATGCAGGACCAGTGCACTTGGGTGCATGTCCATAGGAACCTCCGTCAAAGTGCCAGATACAAAGGTGCCTAGTTGTGAGACAGTGGACTTCTGTGTGCTCAGACACGACCTCAGAGCTCCCTAGCAAAGCCAGACCAGGATGGGCTCTTCACTGGGCACAGGGAGGCCTCTGCCGTGTGTTGGTGCCTCCTTGGGGTGCTGCCAAGGGTGCGTTGGTGGCATGTGTGCGTGCATGTGTGTGAGTGTGCGAGTGTATGCATGTGTGTGTGTGTGTGTGTGTGTGTGTGTGTGTGTAGGAAGAGGCGTTCGCTCTCTTAGACCTTGCTTCTTTCTGTGGTTTGGTTTCTATAGAGACACTTCCTGTGGCAGAGAAAAGAGGTAGTGAGCTGGTGTTTCAGGATGTGAGGGCCCGCAGGAGAAGACGGGCTCTCTCTGCCGCCTGCCCGCCACCGTGCACACTCTGGCCAGCGCTACCCACGGTCCCCATGGTGGGCTGCCCCCGCGGCGGGGACCCGTGATCAGCAGCGGCATGCCAGGGAAACCCAAGCACCTGGGTGTCCCCAACGGGCGCATGGTGAGTGTGGGCTCTGGGCCAGGGCCACGAGGAAGGGTGGGTACACCCAGGGTGGAGCCCAGGAGACACACCCGGCAGGACCAGACAAGAGCTCACAGCTGCCAGTGGGTGGGAGAAGTTGGGCAAAAACAGGTGCAGGCAGTGGAATCCGGTGTCCTCATTCCAAAGACCTTGCCAGACAGCCTCACTAGGAGCCTGGTGCAACCCAGGGGGATGAGAGCACAGCAAAGTGGGCACAAGCTTCTGGTCCAGCATATCAGTTGGACCCACTGCTCCTTTACCTACTACTAGCCTCATCTTGAGCTGCCTGCATTCCAGAGTAGCAGGGAGACCTGCCATGCCCCTAGGCCCTGTCCATTTCCACTCTGTCCCTAGCCCCCCATCTCAGCCAGCCCCTGTCCTCCCCTCCTCACCCTGACCTGGGTACCCAAGGTCGGGTTAGGGGCAGCTCTTACTCTAGCTTAACCTGCTCTGGAGGGTTCCCACTAGAACTAGTGTTTGTGGGCATATGGGACGGGTCAGCAAAGTCAGGCCAGGTTGAACAGCTCCTGTCTATTCTACTTCTCAGCCTCCAGGAAGAGCAGAGATAGCTAAACACTAAACTGCTTCCACTACACCCTCTACAACCTCTCCCGGGCTGCTCAACTCCCGACCCAAGCTGCCATGAGAGGGTCTGGCTCATCTCATTCATTTAGCAGACGGGGCAGAGTCCTGGCTTACTTAGCAGAGCCCCGCTGAACAACACCAGGAAGGACAGATAGCGTTCTGCCCCCTGTGTGCCCCCTGTCCCAACCACGAGACAAGCCAAAGGATCCAGAGCAACCTGGGCTCCAGTCCCAACTCTGCTGTCCCTTACTGCAACGGGTCTTCCTCTGCAAAATGTGGAGAGTAGAATGGATCACAGTCGATTGCAGTGACTAAATGTGATGCTAAATAAGAGGTCCTTGACTCCTTGTGAGCGCTGCACAAATGCTAGCCCAATATTCCCTACATTTTTAGCACACCTTTAAAGATCTCTCACCCCACCAAGAATCTGAGCTGCCTCCTGTCCCCGCTCCTACCTCCAATTCCCAAGACCTATCTCCATCTCTCCTTCCAGTATCCCTTTACCGCCCAACTCCAGGCTTGCTGGGTGGGAGAGAGGCAAACCCTCCAAAGCTACCTCAGCCCCTCCATCTCACCATCTGTGCCACCAACCTAACCTTGGAAGCTCAGGAAGAACTCAAGTGCTTTGCTTTCTGCCCCAGAGGCATGATGCTTGACTTGCCCTTCCCCAAGTATCCAGGCCACAAAGCCAGGGAGAAGCAGGCCCAGGCCCATGGGAGGGCAGCTGGACGGATGCTTCTGAATGGTGCCTGGAGCTGCAGGACAGCTGAAAGGGCTGGGAGAGAGATCCAACCTCTGTCCCTCCTGCGTCAGCCCGTGGCATCTCTACCCAAAAGTCATTCCAAGTAGGGAGGGCACCTCAGCTCTGCCTTAGTCCTGTTTAGCCCCCTGAGATGCCCCAGCTCCTCTCACTAACTCTCTGTGCCACTCCTTGCTGGCTGCTGGGCAGCTTTCTAAGGCCATGTTGGCCAGGGCAGGGAAGGGTGAACAGACATGGATGACTCTGATGGGGACATGGATGGAGAGACACCTGTGGGCCAGGTGTCTGGTTTCTTCCAGGAGTGATCTCCAGGGGAGGCTCAGAGGGAATACATGATGAGGCCAGTTATGGAGAAGAAGGATCAGCCCTTGAACTGTCCCCCTACCACCAGTGCCTGACTTTGGCCCTCCCCTTCCTCCCACCGCCCCATCCCTCATCCTCCTTCATTCCCTGTGAGGCAGCTTCAACTGTCAGCCTTGTCTTTCTGCCTCTCAGCTTGTTAAGCAGTTGCAACGAAACCTGTCACTTAGAGACAGCTCCCAGCCCCCTCCCAGAGATGTCTTCATACGGCTCCAACTGCCACTTCATTTGTGCATTCACTCATTCATTCAGCAACCCCTCCTGTATCTGTCCTAGACGCTAAAGACCCAGGCCCATCAGCCTAGCCCCTCCCCACTCCAGCAGCTCCAAGGCTGGCAGAACAAAACACATGGCCAAAAATACTAAAATGAAATTCAGGTTTGGGGAAGAGCTGCAGGTCAGAAATAGAGAAAGCCTGAGGGGGCCTGGCAAGTTAAACTAACTTTACTAACTACAGCCACAGAGAAGATGGTCCTTAAAGAGAATGTGGGCAAGAAGGTGGAATGGCCTGGGAAGAGACCTCCGTGTAGAAAAATGCAGAGTAGGTGTACGGAGACCTGCCCCAAGGGAGGCTTCCAGAGGGGCACTTATCACACTGTCACTGCTGTGAAACCATTTGGTGTTTCTTTCCTGGCAAGGAAAACTGAGGAGCAAAGCCATGTATCTTCCTGCATTCTTGGTTTTTGGCTCAGGACCATGAATTCCACTGCAGGGTGTCTTCAGAGAGGGCCTAAGGTACAGGACAGGGTAGCACACACAGGTAATCCCAGCACTCTGGGAGGCCGAGGCAGGAGGAGAGCAAGTTCAAACCCAGGCTAGGCAACTTGGCAAGACCCTGTCTCAAGATGAAAAATAAAACATGGCTGAGGCCCTGAGGATGTAGCTCAGTGCAAAGGCCCTGGGTTCAATCTCCAGAGGAAGGAGGCACGGAGAGGGGAAGAGAGGCACAGAGAGAGAGAGAGAGAGAGAGAGAGAGAGAGAGAGAGAGAGAGAGAAAGGATAGGGATCAGCTCCACAGAGCTGGCTCAGGCTGAAAGGAACAGGCCCTGGGCTGTCTGTGAACATCCGTAAGAGACTCTGGAGGCCTCTGTTTCACTGAGGATGAAATGAGACAATGGTGCAGGTGCCCAGAACAGAAGATGCTCAATAAACTACCATCCCTTGGAAGCTTGACCTCTCTATGGAGCACAGCTCAAGAGGAGCCCCTGGATGCTGTGTCACCTTGCCAGACCCTTGGTTTTCTCCAAGCTCCCCTGTCCACAGAGAGAAGCAGGGTAGAGAGTTGGGAACAAGGCCTCAGGATCCAGCTCCACCACTTCCCAGCTGTGTGACTTCTTTTGGCCTCAGTTTCCTCATCTGTAAAATGGGGGTAATACTACCTGCCATAGAGGATAAAGATGTAAGGATGGAGTGAGAATGTGGATGTGGGCCATCAGAGAGTACCTGTCACACAATTGGAGCTCAGGACATTTGGGGCCTCATCATCTCCACAGTATCTTTAGGTGCCAGTGACTCCCCCAGGGCTTACTTCCTAATAACAAAGCATGGCTAGCTGAAGCCTGACCTCAGACCAGGAGTGTCATTGGCCACCACACCCTTCCTCACCCCTTCTTCCCCTTTTCTTCCATTCACTCACCACTTCTCCTCAAGCAGGCAGAGGAGAGGGGGCAAGGCCCGCCCCGCTGAACACAGCTTCCCCAGGCAGCAAGCATCTGCACCTACCTGTATGCACCTGCTGTTCCCTGGGGAAGACAATGTGTCACCTGGGACAGAGCTGGGCTGCTGACCAGGCCAAGCTGCCCGATGCTTCCACAGAGCGCAGGAGATGTGGAGTGGGTCTTCATTCAACTGTGCTTCACAGCAGCACCAGGAAATTGGGAATGTGGAGCTCCATGCTACCCAGGAGGAAACTGAGGCTCAAGAAAGAGAAGGGATTTGCCCCCAAGTGGCAGAACAGGAACTGGCCTGGGTGCCTACTCCTCCCAGCTCTAGATTTCTGTCCTACAGGTAGCTGTCTCAACTACGCCATCCACAGCCAGTGGGGCAACGGGAGCAAGGAACTTGGAGTGAGATGAAGAATGAAGAACTTGGGGCCTCCCTGGTGAAGGAGGTGTTGGGCCAGGCCCCTGCAGGCTCACAGGAGCACTGGTTAAAGAAGGAAAGGGTACCGCTGGAGCACAGCATTTGCATCCCCTCCCCCGAGCCAGGCCTGTCCTCCGGGAGCTGCTAGCCTGGGAGGGGAGAGACCCAGGCCCGGGTGGGCATGGGCATGGGTGGAAGGGAGAATGACAGAATGACTGATGTCAATGGGCAGGGTCTTGCAGCACTTGCGGAGACAGGGTACAAAAGTAAGTTCTCAGGCAGAGGAAACAACAAAGCAGGAAGCAGGAATGTGTGGGGATGTAGAGAAAGAAAAGTTGATAACATCAACGGTGGAGACGAAGGAGAGGGAAATGGGGGGGCAGTTAGCTGTAACCTGGCAGTAGCCAGATGCGCCCATGGGGACTGGGAGTGGGCAATGGATAGGACAGGTAAGTCCTGGAGCGGACCTGGGAGCCATCTCCACTTAAGGACACAGACGTTCAGTTCAACATGATGTAGAAATAAAACCTCTATGAGCCAAACAAAATTGGAGTGTGGGCTGGCTTATGTCCCAGCACCTTTCACCGCGCTCTGCTCAGGAGACAAAGGAGAGGTTGATTCAGGGGTGAAGGACAGGACAGGGGCTCCAGGGTGTGCAGGGGGCCTAAGGAGGGCACAGCCAGGCAGCCCCAGCCGAGGGGGAAGGCGACGCTTCCCAGTGAAATGGTGAGGGGAGGGTGGTGACGGGAGGGTGGTGACAGCGCCTCTGAAGCTGGGAACACAGCTGCAGAGCAGCCGGGGGAGGAAGAACACGGGCGCGGCGAGGTGCAGGCAGGTGCAGGATGGTGAAACTGCCACAGGAGAGAGCAGGCTGGAGAGGGAACTTTGGCCACGTTGCGAAGGGCTTCCACTCCTTCCTCCTCCAAGCTGCCTCCCCTGCCTCCCCAGTCAGGCTTTCTCCATAGCGGTGGGAGCACTGACGTTTGTTGTGCGGGATGACTAATGGGTCACCTGGAGGAGGGTAAGGGTAGGGCAAGAGAGGGCGGGGCCGGGGGAGGGTGCACAGGGCGTGGTGTACCCTGGAAGGAGCAGTCCCACGTGCGGTACTCTGTGCAAACTTTCTCTCCTGCTCAGCAACTGCTTACCTGATGCTCCAGATGGGAGACGAAGCTCAGGGAGGAACCCAATGTTTAAAACTAGAAAAAGGCAGGGCTAAGATTTAAATCTGGGTCTGGAGACTTACAACACCTGTGTTCTTTCTTCTGCGGCAGGAGTGGCAAAGTCAAATGGCTAGCAGGGTCAGGCATCAATACTGGTGCAATAACCATTGTAAGGGTTCATAAATGTTTAATTCCTATGTCCCAAATAGTGTTAAGGGTTCTTTATGTCCATGTAACTTATTTAACTGAAGCAAAAATTTAAGTGATCCCTTTTAAGTCAGGATCATTACTTGCTGAATATTTAGAGGGGAAGAAACCCAAACACAAAGAGGTTAAGTATCTTTTTGAAGGTTGCACAGCACAAATTTGAACTCAGGCAGGCTGGGGCAGCACCTGTCTCATACTGACTCCAGAAGTAACACAGAGGCGTCAAACTGGCCCCAGAGCCCTGTGAGGGGAGTGTGAGTCCCTTCCCAGGAAGGCACTGGCTGCTCAGTACCAGCCAAAGTTGCGTGCCAGGAGGAAACCCTGGATACCTGGAACATCACAGCCTTCAGGGATATGTGGAAAACTGGTTTTATGTAAAATCCCTTGATTTTTAAATCACAGAAGCCCCTTTTATCTTAAAAAAAAATTCTGGGCACCAAGACAATAATAACATCCTCATATCTGCAGGCTTGGTCTGGTTTACAGGTGGCTGTGTTGTGACCTGGGTGTTCCTACATTGGGAGTGGGGAGCAGAGAAGCGGGGCAGAGGAGGCTTTCTGGGGCAAATGTCCCCGGACCTGTTTCCAGTGGGGATGGAAAGAAGGGACAGGCGGTGAAAGTTCCCATGACAGGGCCTGGTGAGAAATGTAGGAGGTGAGAAGGAGGGAACTGGGGATGACTCAAGCTCTGGTGCTAAGCGCCCAGGTGATGGATGAACGATGGAATGCAGGGAAGCTAGCTCACTACTCTGGGCCTTTGGGTGCAGGGGCAGAGGAGACTTCCACTTCAGACTCCCAGAGCTTGAATGACTTGTGGGGCATTTGGGGGGAGATGTTCGCAGGAAATGCACTACCTGTGGTTGGAGCTGGAGACCTGGGGGGAAGGTACGACAGGGCCTGTGACAGCACCATGGAGGAGAAGAGGCCAGCCTGCATGAGTAGGAGATGATGAGGGAGATGGGGGAGCTGCTAGAAAGGTAGGAAGGGAACCAAGACAAACCACTGCAAGACTCATTTCAAGACGAGGGTTTTTCTGTTTCACGAATGGCTGGGATTCCCAGAGAAGTCTGAGTTAGTTTGTGCTGTGGGGGAGGATGGAGTTGACCTGTACAGCAGTGCTGCTCAGAGTGTGCTTCCTGGGCCAGCAGCACCAGCAGCCTCTGGAGCTTGTTAGAATGAAGAGCCTTGGGCTCCATCCTGGATCTGCTGAGCAGGAACTTCTGGAGATGGCTTTTTCTGGTCATTCTATGGCAAACTTTGAGAGCTACTGCTCTATACTATAAAAATAACATCCTAGGTTAGCGTGATGGTTGGGGCAGGAGAATCATAAGTTCAAGACCCTATCTCAAAATGTGGGCGGTCTGGGGATTTAGCTGAGTGGAGAGGCCCTGGGTTCAATCTGCTGTGGTAAAGCGGGCATTCTGTGCCCTGTCCAAGGGGGTGGACCTGTGGAGGAACCTGCTTCCCAAGAGGAAACGCTTGCAATAAGGAGCTCATTGGCTACAGAAACACCTTTCCTTCCTCACAGGCAACAGCAAGCATTGATAGAGACCTTACCACTTTCTGGCCACTGTTGTATATGCTATAAATACACTGAACTGATTGGATCCTCACAACAGCACTAGGCAGGAAGTTACTATTCTTATCGCCATCCCCTATTTACAGATGGAAACCAATAAGCAAATTAATTTGCCCAAAGTCACACAGCTAGTAAGTGACAGAAACAGGATTAAAGTCTGCTGTGTATTCTTGGGCTCACCTAGCAGGGGCTGGGGTGGCGGGAAGCAGGGGCCACCGGCAGGTACCTGGTATAAGTCCCAGCACAGTCACTTACACATGATAGAAAGGGGTGACCAACACCCTGACCAAGCAGTGACTGGCTGAGGACACCCAGCCTGCCTCTTCAGGTGGAGGGGTACACAGTGCGAGCTCTTCTCTGGGGAAGCTGGGCCCAGAACTGTCCCCTGAAATTACTCCTGGGGTTCTGCTCTGACTTTCTACCTCGGTCTCTTGTAGGTTCTGGCTGTTTCAGATGGAGGTAAGCGACAGAATGTGTGGAGAAGGCCCGGCTGGGGGAGAAGGAAAAGGGAGGTGGGAGTGTGTGGAGACGGCACCCGCAGAATGGATGCCTACTGGAGGCGTGGCTGGGCAGGGGCTGAGGAAAGAAACATGGCTCACCACCACTTGTCCATCCTCTTGCAGAGCTGAGCAGCACGGCAGGGTCCCAGGGCCAGGGCGAGGGCCGAGGCAGCTCCCTCAGCATCCACAGTCTCCCCAGTGGCCCCAGCAGCCCCTTCCCCACCGATGAGCAGCCTGTGGCCAGCTGGGCCTTGTCCTTCGAGCGGCTGTTGCAAGACCCACTGGGCCTGGCTTACTTCACTGTAAGCCCTGGGGTGGGGGTGAGGTGGGGAGGGCAGGTGGCAGATGCCACTGCCTGGGGAGGCGCAGGGGTGTGTGTCGGGGAGAAGGCACGGATGGAGCTTCAGGCTGGCCAGAATGGGGTCCTCTCTCTGTGAGCTCATCTAGACTTCCTTTGGCACTCCCCCCCACCCCCACCCCGTTCTCCAGCTGGGAACACTTCTTCCTTTCCTCTCTCCTCATTCCTGCTTCTCATCTTCTCTCCCCGATCTGGTGCATCCGTCTGTCTGGCCCTGTCTGGCTGGTCTCTTGGCCTTGTGTGGGTCCCCATTCCGTTGAACACATCTCCTGATTCAACCTGTGGCTGACCACCTTCCTCTCCCCGCCCCCAGGAGTTCCTGAAGAAGGAGTTCAGCGCGGAGAACGTAACTTTCTGGAAGGCCTGTGAGCGCTTCCAGCAGATCCCAGCCAGCGACACAGAGCAGGTGAGGAAAGGGGGGTGTGGCGGAGGCACAGGGACGGGGGCTCGGAGCGTGCTCCGACCTCTTTCTGCCCCTCCTCCGCCCGTAGCTAGCTCAGGAGGCCCGCAACATCTACCAGGAGTTCCTGTCCAGCCAGGCGCTGAGCCCCGTGAACATCGACAGACAGGCCTGGCTGGGCGAGGAGGTGCTGGCCCAGCCCCGGCCTGATATGTTTCGGGCACAGCAGCTTCAGGTGAGTGGTGCCAAGGGGCGCGGCCTTTGCCAAGACGGTGACTTTGAAAGAAGGAGCAAGGGAGCAGGGGTGGAGTCATATCCCGGGGCCAGAGGGAAGGGGCAATTTTGGCCTCGGGCAGGCGCTAAACACAACAGCAGGGCGAGTCGCAGCGCAGCACCAGAGGCTGCAGAGGACGGATGGGCGGGACCTAGCGGATCTCCGGGCGTGGCCAAGGATAGGGACGGGCTTCGACCCGGAGTTAAGGGTTAGACCTGGGATAGGGGTGGAGTCGAGGTTCCTCGCCTAGACCGGGGAGGCGGGTACAGCCACAAGGCGGGCTCGACACCTCCCCTCTTACCCTGCAGATTTTCAACCTGATGAAGTTCGACAGCTACGCACGCTTTGTCAAATCGCCACTTTATCGAGAGTGTCTCCTGGCGGAGGCTGAGGGGCGCCCCTTGAGGGACCCTGGCTCCTCGAGCCTCGGGAGCCCCGATACCACGAGGAAGGTGCGGACTAGGGGCTGTGGGGGCAGGGATCCAGAGGTCGGTCTGCAAGGGGACAAGATCTGCGGGTGTCAGCTTGTGATGGACCTGCGCGCAGGCGAGACCCCAGCCCGATACCAGCGCCTTCTCTGTACCCGCAGAAGCCGAAGCTGAAGCCTGGGAAGTCGCTGCCCCTGGGCGTGGAGGAATTGGGGCAGACGCCATTTCCTGAGGGTCCCGGGGGCCGCACACTCCGCAAATCCTTCCGCAGAGGTGAGGGCAGGAGCAGGCCACAGAAATGCATTGGGAATGCCCCTTCCTCCTACGTGACCCATCCTGTCCGTAAACCTGCAAAAAAAGAAAAGACAAGACATGCCCGTCCCTGAGACCACCTCATTCCCCTGGGTGGCACTGTTCCCAGGCTAGACCCTAGGGGTGTGGGAGTCCCCCACGGTAGCAACATTTCCAGGCACCCACCACATCGCCCCTGCAGGAGGGCTCCCAACAAGGTCCACCGGAAGTGGGAGAGGCCTCTGCAGAGGATGGGTGAGCAGTGAAGGTGCTCATTGCTTGCCCTCCTCTAGAGCTGGACGGCAGGACCACAAACTTGGCCTTGCGCCGAGAATCTCAGGGCTCCCTCAATTCCTCGGCCAGCCTGGACCTGGGCTTCCTTGCTTTCATCAGCAACAAATCCGAGGTGAGCCAACTGCCTGGGGAAACAAGGTATATTGTGGATTAGGACCGCTCCTTGCCCCTTATGTGGTGCTTGTCCTTCTCAGCTGATGTCCTCACTTTCATTTCCAGCTTGCTCTGTGGACCAAACCCTCATTCTCCTTTTCTTCCTGTCCTCACGCGTGTCCTGGGCACACATCCTCATCTAGCAAATATGTGTGCATGTGCAGGTCTCCGGTATACACAACGTGTGTGGGTGTCCGTGGGAGGACCTGTCCACATGCTTGGCTGTGTATATCTATGTTCCTGTAGGACACGTTTGCCTGCTTCCAGGCGTGTCCTTGGACATGCGTGCCGCAGTGAGCTTACCTGTCTCTGTGTGCCTGTCTGCGTGCCTTTGCGTGTATACCCACACCCTCCCTCCACTCCTGCCAGAATCAGAGCCACCGGAAGAGCCTCGGGAGCACTGAGGGTGAGACCGAGAGCCGGCCAGGGAAGTACTGCTGCGTGTACCTGCCCGATGGTACAGCTTCCTTGACCCTGGCTCGACCTGGTCTCACCATCCGTGACATGCTGGCAGGCATCTGTGAGAAACGAGGCCTCTCCCTACCTGACATCAAAGTCTACCTGGTGGGCAATGAGCAGGTATGAACCTAGACTGACCCTAACTCTGACCTTCCTGACCCTAACTTACTCTATCCTGTACAGTTCTGCCAATCTAGCCCTTTTCCCTGTCCTCACCTGCTTCCTAACCGCAGCCTGGGGCTGGGGATATAGCTCAGTGGCATAAGTGCCTGCCTGGTAAGAGCAAGGTCCTGAGTTCGATTCCCGGTACCAAAAAGAAAAACAAAAAACTAACTGCAGCCGGCACCATAACCCCACAACCTCACTCCAGCCCTAAGCCTAATTCTAAATCAACTCCAACACCAACTCCTCACTCTAACGTGGACATCCACCATGTTCCACAAAAATCCCTCCCTTTCATAGCTATCCTAACTTCCAGCTTCATCCAGTGTCCCATTTTGATGGTCTTCAGGGAGGTAACACCCTGCAAAAGTCACTAATAGATCTGGGATTTTCTTCATTGCTCCCTCAGTTCAGACTGTCATCCCTTTGAAATTTCCCTATGCAGGGAGACCTCATCTCCTCTGCCAACAGGGTCATCCAACTGTACCTAACCCATGAACACCTTTCCTGTAGGCGCAAACTAGAATTAAGCTTTAAAGAGGTGATTAGGGAAAAATCTGTTTCAATTGAACCATCCAGTAAGGGGATCTAAAGGAATGCTACTACTGCATCCCATGCAGACCATCGGAGTTTCATTCACCTCATAGTCAAGTCCCAAGGCCCTGCGGAGGTGGGTGAGCAGAGGGACTCAACTCCAGGCTCTGCTCTCCGGGCCCACAGTCTGGAGGTGAGCCAGGCAGGAGAGGCTTAGGGAGGAGGAATCAACCCCCCAGTGGAAGTCTCTGGGGAGGAAGGTCAGTATCTCTGGCTGGTGTCGGGAAGGTTCATGGAAGAAGCAAGAATTGATGAGGACAGGGAGGAATCTGCCTGGTGGAGCTGTGGCAGAAGACATTCCAGGCAGAGGGAACAGCTTAAGCAAAGGACTGGAGGTGGGGACTTGTAGGACCTGTTTAGGAACCTAGGATGTGGGAATGTCAGGGTAGTAGAGGGAGGCACTGTGCCCACTGTCCCAGGCCACCAGAGCAGCCGCCAGCAGCCCAGATGGGCATTCGTACCTGCTAAATATAACTTCACCACCCACACTCCACCTGTCTCTGCTGCACAGCACAGGCTCACTGTCTAGGATAGGCTTCCCCCCTCCCTCCCACCCTCTCCCAGGGCTGGCACAGACAGGCCTCCAGGGGGTGGGCGCTGCTACCATTACTGTTTATGTACCTAGTGTGTGCCAGGTACCGTGCCAGTGCTTCATATCTTTCTGCCTGCACAGCAGTTTTAGGAGATGGGAGCCCTTTCTGCAGCGAAAAGACAAGGAGTATCCTTAGCAAGGAGGGGACGGAAATGTAGACAAGTATTAAGAAAGGGACAAGGCCTGGGTGGCTGACCACAGGAGGGCAGTGAGGAAGGAAAGGTAGCTAGCCCATGTGGTTGGATTTCCCATGACTGAGAGACAGGGGGCAGCAGTCCAGGAGGCAGATCTGACCAGTAATCAAGGACCTCAGCCTGGCTTTTACCAGAGCACTTCACCATTCCATCCATAACTCTAGTCTTTTCCAAGCTTCCTCCAGCATTCTTGCTACTGTTTTTTTCTTTTTGAGACAGGGTCTCCCTATGTAGTTCAGGCTGGTCTTGAATTCACAGCGATCCTCCTACTACAGCCTCCCGAGTACTGGGATTACAGGCTGCACCACCACACCCCGCTTCTTGCCATTGTTTTTATTCGCTTGGCTTTATTAGCCTCCAACCCCACTGGGTTCCAACACCATCTGGCCCTGTACAGCTCTGCTACCCACTTCCCTCTGATCTTTAGGGAGCCATTGGAGGCCACAGGATGAAGCAAAGGTGGTGCCCAAAGACCCTCAGGGATGGCTCAGGGTATGGGGAGGGATTCTTAGACCTTGCCTGGCTTCTGCAGAAACCCCTGGTCCTGGATCAGGATTGTACTGTGCTAGCGGACCAGGAAGTGCGGCTGGAAAACAGGATCACCTTTGAGTGAGTGTTGTACCCCCTGGCTGGATCTGGAGTCCTACACTACTTTGACTTGGTTCTGCATATGAGTCTCCCAGCTACCCTCAGGCCCTACCCCCTGAGCTCAAACCCACCTCAAGCCAGTTTCATTCCTGGCTCCATGTCTGCTCACTCTGGGCCTGTCCTGGGAGGGCTGCAAGAGAGGGGGGATGGTCCTCTGCCCCTCTGCAGCCCAGGGGTCCCGTGCAGGCTCGAGCTGGCAGTGCTGGAGCGTGTGGTGCGGATTTCTGCCAAACCCACTAAGCGGCTGCAGGAAGCGCTGCAGCCCATCCTGGCGAAGCATGGCCTGAGCCTGGAACAGGTGGCCCTACACCGGGTGAGCCAAGGGGCAACTGACCAGGGGTGGGTGCTGGGTGGTGGGGAGTCGGTTCACAAGCTACTGACCTCTTCCCACAGCCAGGTGAGAAGGAGCTGCTGGATCTAGAGAAGCTAGTGAGCTCGGTGGCTGCCCAGAGACTGGTCTTGGACACTCTTCCAGGTAAGGGACGTTGAGCTGGAATTTGATCTTTGGGTCTGGCTCTGCCCCAGGAGGATGGGGGTCCAGGCAAGAGGCAGACAACAACAGTGGCACTTTCTGTCACAGGTGCAAAGATCTGTGGAGGCAGCAACATATCCCCCTCCTCCGGCCAGGTAAGCAGGAGTCCCAGGGTGCCTTATCCACCTGCTAGTTTTCTTCCATCTCCTGTTGTGACTGACCCAGGTTCTTGCAGGGATGCCCTCCTGGGAGCCAGGACAAGGCCACTCCTCTCCACCCACAGCCCCCTGGTTCTGTGTTGGAGGTGCCCAGCAGTGCCACTGGGAAACGGCAGACTTGTGACATTGAAGGTACATTGTGGGAATGGTCAGGACTGGGGACCGGAGGGACCAGGGAAGTGGGGTAACATCAGAGAGACTTCAGCTACAAAGCAGTGGCCTCAGTGTCTTTGGGGCTAGTACAAGAGTGCCTGGGGCCATTAGAATTGGAGGGCAAGGAGACTGTGGTAAGGGCCCCAAAGGCCACAGGTGCTAGGGTCAGGGAGGCTGTGGCCATAGTGAGGCAGCAGGACTGAGATGGGCTAGCATAGGCAGTGTGACGAGGGTGGGCCTTGTGACTCTGTGGTTGCCCTCAGGCCTGGTAGAGCTGCTGAACCGGGTACAGAGCTGTGGGGCCCATGACCAGAGGGGCCTTCTTCGAAAAGAGGACCTGGTACTTCCAGAATTTCTGCAACTGCCTGCCCAACAGCCCAACTCCCCAGAGGCTCCACCACAGACCAAATCAGCTGCCCAGCCCACGGGGAGCCCCTCAGATTCCACCACTGACTCAGCCCTCTGACACTTTAGTCACAGTCCGGGCCGGCTGCATGGCACCTGGCGGGCCGAGCATGCCATGGGTCCGCTCTGCATGCCCTATCTGTGCCATGAGTGTCCCTGGCCCTTTCCTGCCATGGGCAGGCCCGCAGGAAGAGCCAGGAGCGGGTGGAGAGGGAGCTCAGAGGAGCCATGTCCCACAGCTGCCACCGCCTGGTCTCACAGGCTCACCCACCCATCTTCGCAGCCAGGCCACTGGGAAGGGGTGGCCTTATCTCCTTGGTGCAGCTGTGCCCAACATGGAGGGGGGGCGTTGGCAGTGCCAGCCTCCCCAGCCTGTGCCAAGTTTCAGCAGGGGGCAAGAGGAGGGGCTGGCCCCTCCTTAGGGAGTGGATGAGATTAAGGCCTGGGGGTGCAGTTGGGCAGCCCCTCCCTATGCCCACAGAGACTCTACTGTACATATGGATTTTGTGGTTGGCTTGGGGCAGCTGGGCTTGTCCTGGATGTATGATATTGTTATTATAATTATTATTATTATTCTGCCATGAGGTGTGTTCCTTGTGTGTTACTCTGCTCTACTCCCCACCCCCCACTACAAACCACACTGCCTCTTTCACCAAAGTCAGTGCCAGGAAGTTCTTGGGGACTTCAGGATGTACCTCTTGACTTCCTGTTTTCAGAATCTCTTTTCCTGACTGCACAGAATATGAGGGGCAGAGGAGTGCATAAGAGAGATGCCTCCTTCCACTGCAGCTGTGCCCCGGCCATCATCCAGCTGTTCAGTCTCTGGATCTGAATACATCATTCTGGCTGTTGTTCGCTGCTAGTATCAGGGCCCTGGTGTGTCTTTACACACCTAACTGAGGGCTCCTTTGGATGCATCAAAGTCTATGTGGGGGCTGGGCATGGTGGTGCATGCCTGTAATCCTAGCACTTAGGAAGCTGAGGCAGGACGATTGTGAGTTTGAGATCACTCTGGGCTACATAGTGAGTTCAAGGCCAGCCTGAACTACATAGCAAGACTCTCTCTCAAAAAACAAAAAACAAAAGAGGCCTATATGGGGACACTAGTTGTTTTGGGGGGCAGATTTTCACACATATTTGCTTTGGCTGGGTGGTTTTTCCTGTCTCCAGGCAGACAGGGAAGCTGGGACTTTACACAGGGAGGGGAAGCAGGGAGGACCTTCCAGAAAGAGAGGCCCCTAACCTGTAAAGAGAGAAGTCAAACTTGTCCCAACCCAGAGAGGTAAGTACTGCCACAGGAGAAAGAAGGGGCCTCCAGACAGCCACCTCTGAGGATGTGAGGGAGAACCCTGCCTGCCTCAGACAGCCCCTCTGCCAGGACTCCCCTACTCTCTTCTCATCCAACTGATTCTTCTTCCTTCTTGAGATTGGTGGGATAGATCAGTGAGGTTTGCTGGTCCACCATGCCTTCCTCTTCCAGCTCAGCCTTCTGCCCCTTTAGCCCATTTTATCTGGCTTGGGGCATAAATTGTTAGGTGGGCTGATGACCCAGGTCTGGCCTGGATACTCCATTCTCCTGGCCAGTCAGAGTTGGATTCTGGATGGTCCTTTGACTTCAGTTGTTCTTTTTTTTTTTTGTCTTTTTGAGGCAGGGTCTCATTATGCAGTTCAGGTTGGCCTTGAGCTCACTTTGTAGCCCAGGCTGCTCTTGAACTCACAATGATCATCCTGCCTCAGCCTCCTGAGTGCTGGGATGACAGGCATGCGCCACTACACCCGGTACTGTCAGTTGTTCTAATCAGAATCCCAATTCTGATCATTTTTTACCATCTCCTGGGGATTTGTACAAAAGACCTTCAGGAAGAGAACCAGCATGGGAATGAAGCCAGCACAGGAGGCTAGGACTGAGAGGTGCCTCAAAGGCCTAAAACCCACCACTTGTAGACTTTTTCCTTAGTCAAGCAAATACACTCTTTCTGGGCATGCATATTTGTTTCTGAGACCTGCGACCACAAATTCCTGCTTCATTGACCATCTCAGCAGTCTCGGATGGTCTCAGTGAAGCATGCAGGGACAATAGGTCATCAGGAATCCTGGCAGGGGACTGCATAGCACTAGGGTTGCTGTGTGAGACTAGGGGTGAGAGGAGGGAGAAAAAGTCATGTCCTTTCTCTTAGCAGCTGCAGAACTTCCTTCAGACTTCCTGGGACCTCCCCTATGGAGGGAGACGCCCTTCTATCTGTCTGAGGACAGAGAGGTAGGGGCACTGCACCAAGTGAGAGACGGCTATTTCCCTGAGGTTGGAAGACAGATCCTGCAGGCCAAATGCAGCCTGCACCCATCCCTCTACCTCTATAGACCTAACAACAATGCCTGTTACCCTTAGGGACCAAAGGGATTGCTCCATGGGAAAAGGGGGTCAAGACCAAGTGAAGAGCCTCATAGAAGTCAGCTACTTGGCTGGGTGTGGTGGCATACTCCTGTAATCCCGCACTTGAGATGCTGAGGCTGGAGGATTGCTGTGAGTTCAAGGCTAGCCTGGTCTACATAGTTAAGGACCAGCCTGAACTCATAGCAAGACCCTATGTCGGAAAAAAAAAAAAAAAAAGTCTGTTCCTTCAGGGGAGGAACTCACATGTACTGAGTTCCCCATGATAGATCTGAGACATCCTTTATCTCATCTTCATCGTCACATCAAACAAGCAGGTGGGATGAAAACAGGTTTGCTGGAGGGGAAGTGACTAGCCCAGGACAATGCATGGATGCTTCTGTGGGGCTTTGCCACACTCAGGTCACCTGGTGCAGGGACATACTCCAGGGAAGACCTGGGTGCATAGAAACCCTTGGTAAGGAGCCAGGGCCCCTCCTAGGGGGAGGTTACATTGATAGGGCTGCTTTTGTGTGTAGAGGGCGGCAGTTCAGGAGTTTCTGCTAAAAATTAAAAACCATATGTGACCCCAGTGATCCCACAGGAGAATCACTCGATGCAGGGATGAGGAGGTCCCTGAAGGTTATCTGTTGCCTGAAAACTGGCAAACAACCAATGTGGACAGGATTGGGGATAATAAAACAAACCGTGGCATGTCCATGCTCTGCAATACCACACAGCAGAAAAAGAGCTGGGTACAGCAGGTCCTAATGTGGAAAGTTCTCCAAATGTGTTAGTGCTCAGTGAAACAAAACCTATGGTGCTACACCTGTTGTGATCTGTTTCGTTGCTATAACTGAATACCACAGACTTGGTAATTTATAAGGAATAAAGGTTTACTTGGCTGAAGGTATAGCTCAGCATATTCATGGCCCTTAGTTCAGAGTCCAGCACCAAAAACTAAATAAATGAAACAAAAATAGAAGTTTATTTTGCTCACAGTTCTGGAAGCTGAGAAGTCTAAGAGCATGGCCTCAACATCTGGTAAAAGCCTTCATCAGGTGCCAGAGAACATCACATGGTGAGATAGCAAGCTAGCCAGAGAACTCATTTTATAATAAAGCCACTCCAAAAAGAACACATTGACCCATTAACCCATGAGAGGAGTAACTGATTCATGAGGGCAGATCCCAAAAGTCTCAGCTTCCCAAGTCTCATCTCTCAGCATTACTGCATTAGGGGCCAAGTTCCCAGCAGTGAACTTCTAGGATACACATTCAAACCATGGTTATAACTTCATAAACCACAAGCACCCGAGCACTTACAAGTGTATGGGAAGGAGAGAGAGTTCTACACGTGTATACGGTATACCAAACTGACCCAAAGACAGGGAGGGGACCAGGTTTGGGAATAGTGGGCAAAGGAAACTTTTGCTTTAGCCTTAGTTTTTTTCTTTTTTTAAAGAATACATTGTAGTGTAATTTTTTTTTATTTTTGAGACAGGGTCTCACTGTGCAGTTCAGGCTGGGCTTGAGTTCACTATGTAGCTCAGGCTGGCCTCAAACTTGCAACGATCCTCCTACTTCAGCTTCCCAAGTGGTGGGATTACAGGCATGTGCCACCATGCCCAGGTTAATTTAGTGTAATTTTATTTTATTTTATTTTTTATTTCGTTTTTGGTACTGGGAATCAAACTCAGGACCTAGCACTTGCCAGGCAGGTGCTTGTACCCCTGAGCTATATATCCCCAGCCCTAAAGTAATTTTAATAACACAGAGAAGTACCCAAGGATACAACTTGGTAGAGTCCAATTCTTCCTTTGGGGACCTAAGTCCACCCTCACCTTGGATCATTTAGTTGAGTGGGTGTGCTGCTCTGCCACAATGGCCTTTGTCTTCCCCACTCCAACAAACCCCCTGAAGTAGCCCTGGGCCAAGGGAGACCCTATTTCCTCCTCACAGTTGCTGCAACCAACAGCCCTTCAAGGCCTTGGGTTGTCATCAGCCCAACCAAGCCAGGTACCATCTAACAGGCCCAGACTCATAGCCTTCTTCTCCAAACTGGCTCAGGGATAAGGGGCACCAGCTGGTTAACCCACGAGGCCATGTTTCACAAGTCCTACTTGAGCTGGCTTCTGGGCGGACAGGAAAGATGGTAGAGAGCTGCTCCTCACACTCTCAGTGAGAAGCCAGGAGGGTTGTTGGCCCTGTCTACCTAGTACAAAGCATGAAGGAAGGGAGAGAACACGTGCTTATTTGTTAACCAATTTTTAGACACCCCATTGTAAGCTGGGCGTCAAGGTACAGACCTGTAATCCCAGCACTGAGGTGGCTGAGGCAGGAGGATCACCATGAGTTTGAGGCTAGCCTGGGCTACATAGTGAATTCAAGGACAGCTTGAACTATAAAGTGAGACCTTGTCTGAAAAACAAACAAGCACCCTAATACCTCATTTTACATAGGACACAGGCTAAGAGAGCAGATTATGACTTCTTGAAGGCACCCATGAGACCCAAATTCATGTGGCTCCAAGCCTGTAAGAGACAGTCTTGTTCCCCATCTCTTGTCTTCCCCCACAAGAGCTGGAGAAGGGGTATGAGATGGGCACAGGGTACACCATGACCTTGGTTCTGGGCCAGGGTGGGGGAGGTCAGGGTTGTGCCTGCTCACCTGCGGCCTCCACTGAAAGCATGCTAAAGTGGCCGGGGAGATAGCCCAGTGGCACAAGTGCCTGCCTGAAAGTGTGCTGACGCAGCAGCAGGTCACTGCTTGCTGGGGCAGCCAAGGTGCACCCTGCAGGGGGCCTGGCCTGCTAGTCAGGTGACTCTGGCTTCTGAGGGTTATGGGAGCTGGAGGTCACTTTCACAGGGAAACAAAGACCCAGCTGGGGAGGAATACAAATGGTTGGCTACACTGAATCACATGCAGCCCATGAAATGAACAACTCCAAGGGGTGCCATTCCCATCCTTGACCGTCCCAGGAAGAGTTGGGAACATAAATGTGCAGCTATGGCCTATGAATACTGTAGGTCCTGGGCAAGGGGGCTGTGTAACTATCTTAGCACTTGTCTGCAGAGAACTGGCTTGAGGATGGAGCAGAGACAGAAAGCAAAAGGAAAACTGCCATAGAGCCGGCATCCCACCTGCAGACCAACCTAGGCTACTGGATGTCAGGATGACATTCTGACCGGCAAAGATGGGTGGGAAAGACCTCACTAGCCAGAGAGCTACCAAGCGCCTACCCCATTGCTGAGTGGCTGAAGGAACCCAGAGCCCAGATCAAAACCTGGAGTGTGAAACATAATTTTGAGCTTGGGTTCTAGAGCCCAAAGCCTGGGACTGGAGTCTGAAGTCCAGAACACAGAACCTGAAGCCAAAACCCTGAAGTCCAGAACCTGGAGCCAGGAATCTGGAATTGGAGATGAACCCAGAGCCCAGTGCCTAGAACCAGAACCCCAAGCTTGACATCAGTGCCAGAAACTAGATCCAGAAGGCTGTAACTCAGAGACCAGGGCCCAGAACTCAGAGCTTGGAACTAAGAATGTAGAATTCAGGGCCTGGAACTCCCAGCTGGAAGCAGAATTAGAGTATGGATTCCAGAACCTGGAGCTAAGCTCCAGGCCCAGAACATAGAACCCAAGACCTGAAGTCAAAAGCCAGATCTCAGAACTTCAGGTCAGGAAGCTAGATACCAGAGCCTGCAGCTGCTGATTTGGTAGCATGCTGTCCATGCTAACCATGCTCTCCACAGCCTTACTCTCCGTGCTGGACCCTGAGGCCCCCATGAAAGACACAGGGCAGGAGCCACATGAGGGAGGGAGCTGCAGGGAAGAGGCAATTTCCAAAATGCTCAAAGCAGCCTCAGCAGTTTTGGACACAGACTCTGCCCTTGTTCGTAAATGAGTGACCAGTGCATGGGGCACAAGGATTAATAATTATACAGGTTGATTATCACCCACACGGGATGGAACATCGTGGAGGTCAGCCATCCCTACCTTTGAATCAGGAGGGGCCCTGAGTTCCCCATCTGCAAAACGGGATTTGGATGAGACAGTGTCTCAGGGTTCTGTCTGCACTGGGCTTCCCTGTCCAGCTCAGATTGAAATCCAAGCTCTCCAACAAAGAACAAAGTCAAGAGAGCTGCGGGAGTGGGTAGTGCTTTGTTCCCCAGGGAGAGGCAGCTGCTGACCCTACTGCTATATCTGCCAGCCCAGGGATAAGAACCCTTGCCCTGATCACTGATGTGCAAGGAATGTGTCTGTGGTACATGTGCACATGTGCAGTCCTGGTGGTCTGCCATCTTCCCAGTGTGCAGCATGGTGCCGACCCACAGAAGGGTTGTATGTTCACGGAATTAAGCATGTTGGTGGGGAGAGGCATGCATTCTCACCCGGCACTGATGGGACACACTGCTGTGGGATTAAAGGGAGCATAAACCAAGTTCTCCCTCCACCCCAAACAATTCAGTTCATAGACAGAACTGGTTTTGAATGTTGGTTTTTCTTCCTTTGATTATACTCAAACTTCAAGTCCTGCAGAAAATCCACATGCAGGAAACTGTACTTAAGGAACAAATTGGTATTAACCAAGAATTGCAAAATCAACTGGTTGTGCCAACAACCTGCTCTATTTCTGGATCCACACTCTTGTTCTTGGGAACGATCTCTCCATCGTGCCACTCCTAGGGGAATTATTTTCACTGGCATTATGAAATCCGATATATGCCAGCCTCTTGCATTCATGCTGGCCATGCTGCTACCACTATATATCACCACCACCTATTCCTCCCCAACCCGTGGCAGCTGTCTCCTCCCCTCTCAGATTACTTAACATCTCAGCAGCATTTGACCCAGCTGACCAGTGTGTCTCTTGGTCTTTGCTGGTTTCTCTGCCTCACCCTTCCTTAAATGTAGGTGCACTTCTGGGCTGAGCTGTGGGCCTGTTCTCTCTTCATTATACACATTTTCCCTGGGGTTTGACTTCCCAGGCACAGCCTGAGGCCAGCAAAGTGGGCAGGAAGCCAAGTTGCATTGGTCCTTCCAGGCTGTGCCAGCATGCTGGTCTTTATTTGAGCAGCTAACATGTTTTTATTTTATTTTTTGGTACCGGAAATCGAACTCAGGACTTTGTGCTTGCCAGGCAAGCGCTTATACTACTGAGCTATATCCCCGGCCCAACATGTTTTTGTTTTGTTTTGTTTTGTTTTGTTTTGTCTTTTTGAGACAAGGTCTCACTGTGCAGTTCAAGCTGGTCTTGAGCTCACTTTATAGCCCAGGCTGGTCTCAAACTCGAAACAATCCTCCTGCCTCAACCTCCTGAGTGCTGGGATTACAGGCGTGCACCATCATATCGGGCTAACATGTTTTCGTTTGTTTTGTATTTTTTTTTTTTGTCTTTTTGAGACAGGGTCTCACTATGCATTTCAGGCTGAACTCGAAATCACTTTTTAGCCCAGGCTGGCCACGAACTCCCAACGATCCTCCTGCCTCAGCCTCCTGAGGGCTGGGATTACAGGCATGTGCCACCACGCCGGGCCCGGCTAACATGTTTTTAAAGAGAGAGAATGGTGGTTAACTTTGATTTTGAAGAGATTAACTTTGGATTTTGAAGAGATCACTGGTTGCTTTCTTTGGAGACTGGATTGCGGGTCAGCCAGGGCAGATGCAGGTAGGACACTTGGGAGGTCACTGCAATTTCCCAGGGGAGATGACTCAGCTCAGGGTGGCTAGGTCCAGGAAGGTGGCCGTAGAGATGCTGGGCAGTGAAGGATCAGGTTGCTCCTGGAGAGATAAAATTAGGAAAATTGGAGGAAGAGTCAGAGGTGAGTGGGCAGAAGAGAATAAATGTCCAGGGTGCCTGCCTGGTGTCTGGCTCCAATTGATGGACCACACGCTGCTTGCAAAGATGGGAACATGAAGAAGATGTACTCAGGGTAGGGTGAGGAGCACAATGTGCTCACACTGACAGAGCCAACTGCTCCTGCCAGAGGCCCCGCTGACACAGCCTGTGCAGAGGCCTCTTCTTCCCAAATGGCTTCTCCTCTTCTGTGCCTTTCCTCAAAGTGACACAACCCCAACCAGCAAGGTTCTGAGCCAGAGGAAGTCCAGGGGAGCCATGGCCAGAGCCCAAGCACACAGACAGGGTGTGAGTCATTATTCAGCGGGACACACAGACTCTCTCACCAACCAAGGAGGAGACAGGCACCTGGGGATGGGTAGTCCTAAAATGAGCAGAGGGGCTGACACTCAAATCTTTAGGGCTAACATGGAGCCACTTTCTCTGCTGCTCCCAGGAGCTCTGACACAAGATCTGGTCAACTCTAAAGTTTCATTATCATCACTAGGGCTGAAGCAGCCCCAAATCCAGAAAAAAAAAATGCTTTTGGGAATGGCTATATAAATCCACAGAATTTTGGAATTTTATCTCTTAGGATGCATTTAATCAATAATTAACTGCCTTCCCCACTAAACCCAGAGAACTCTATGACAACAGAAAGGTAGACTTCAGAAATGACAAAAATCTGGCATGGTAGTCAATGCCTACAATGCCAGAATTCAGGAGATTGAAGAAGGAGGATCTCTATGAGTTTGAGGCCAGCCTGGGTTACCCAGTGAGTTTAAGCCAGCTTGTATCTAGCTAGGGCCTGGGGATTTAGCTCAGCGGCACAGCACCTGCCTGGCAAGTGCAAGGTCGTGAGTTTGATTCCCGGTACCGGAAAAAACAAACAAACAAACAAAAAAAAGCTCTAGCTAGACCATGTCTCAAAAAGACAGATAAAAAATTGTAACCTTGTTAAAAGGAGAAGCACCCTCAGTCATCAGTACTTGCTCCTGCCCGGGGTCTGACCTAAACAGAGCAGAGACAAACAGTGCAAGTGGACTGGGATCGCTAGTTGTCAGTAGACCACTGCTGCGTTCAGACTATAAATTAAGTATGGATTAGGTAGGGTTTATCAATTTAAAGAGGAAACTGCAGAAATGCCTGTCTCTCTTGGTGCAAAAAGCCTAGGTCTGTGTCACTCTAAAGATGTTGACAGCACTCTGCATGATAATCACCTGGTAAGCTGCAGAGAGTTGTTGACTTGAAATACAGTGCAGCAAGCCGGGGATATAGCTCAGCAGCACAAGCACCTGCCTGGCAAGCACAATGTCCTGAGTTCAATTCCTGGTACCAAAAAAGAAAAGAAAAGATATACAGTGCACCAAGTGCAGGTGGGGCCATGTGCAAGGCCGAGGCACTTCAGCATCCTGGAGGCTCCAAGAAAAGGGCAAGAAGCAGGAAGGGAACAACATCCGAAGGGACCATTCTGACACAGGTCATTCATCTCATTGAATTGTACAGCTCGTTGATGAATCATTACTAATTAATTGCTATTTGATAAGTAAAGGGAGTAGGGCCCAGCGAGGTGAAGTGACTAGCCTCAGAATCCCAGGTTGATTCAAGGGTTGTTTGGATCTTTGCTCAAACAAGAGAAGATTCTGGCCTTGACAGCCTTGGTCCATTATGGGATAGGAATTTAACTGAAGTACTTAGGAATGGATGGGCAGACAATGACTGGCTGGCTGGCTGGCTGACCAAGTGGATGGATAGATGGATGGAGCAGAAGGAAGATGAACTGATAATGTTGGTAGGTTACTAAACAGATACCTAAACTAGATTTTGGCAGGGTGCTGAGGATTAAACCTAGAGCCTTCATGCTGAATTATACCCTAGGCCTTTAAAACAACTTTTTAAAATTTTTGAGACAGAATCTAAGTAGCTATATTGCCCAGTCTAGGCTTAAACTTTCAGTCTTCCTGCCTAAGCCTCCAGGAGTGCTGGGATTACTTGGACCTTTGCTTTAATGAGAGGAGAATCTGGGTACCATTATGCCCAGTTCTAAACTAGATCCTGAATGGAGTCCATCATTATTTAATCTGATCGGATCTTTTATCCCAACCAAAATCTTCTCATTACGCTGTGAATCCGGGACCTAACTCAGGCTCCACAGTCCCATGAAAGGGAAACAAGATTCTGTGCCTGGGGCAGGGAATGTGTCTGTGCCCTGGCGGGATCATGGTTCAGGTTGACCGTCCATGTTGGGGAGGGTAGAGCCTGACCACAGTCTCCCCTGCAGAGCTGAAGATTAGCAATTAACTGGGAGGAATCTTGGGATGAAATTAATTGGGGAACAAAAGGAGGGTAGCTAGCGTTCTAGGGACTTTGCCCTTGATCCAAAGGTATAAACAGAAGGTCTCAGCTACCCCTTAGGCCCCTGGAGTCTTCCCTGAGCTGCTAAACAAGCTGAAACATAGAACCTCAAGGTGAGACCAGGGCCCCCACATCCCAAGCTCACCCCCAGCCCATCACCCAGTTTCTGTCTCTGTCTGTGCTTTCTGTTCCCTATAACGTCTTAATCACACCCAGCCTGGCTCACTCTTCCACAGCAGAAAGGACTGCTTTTGCGGGGTTTGGAATTCAGCTCTGCATACTGCTTTACCCCAGTAGCCACGGACCTCTGGAACAATGTGGGGAGACACTGAGGCAGGTTGGGGCACCATACCTCAGGAGCCAAGAGTTCCTGGGACAGTGCAGGGAGCACCTAAGGAAGGCCAGTTCTAGTCTGAGCCTTATTCATGGAAAAGACGGCTAGTATTTGTTTATTGCCCATCTGAGGAGGTAATGGGGAAAAGGAAGGCATTGTGAGGGGGATGGAGGTCAGGGGACCCTTCCCCAAGTGTGTCCTCAGCCAGCAGGTGTCCAGGACTCCTCTCTGCTCTCAGGGTGGAAAAACCTCATGCATGGCTTACCTGGCCTACATGGTCAGTCACTGGTCACTTGTTCCCTGGCTGCTTCCAGCTGTATGCATAGCAATTTCAGTTTCTGAACATCTGGGCTCTCTCCTGCCACAAGGCTTTTGCAAACATGCCCTTCTCCTCTGCACCCACTTATCACGTTCATGTCAGCCTCATGGTCTCTTCATCTCCACAAGCCCATGCCTTGTCATGGAACACTCTAGTGGTAGCTGTACCTATCATAACACCCTCTATCAGTTCCCACTCATTGAGAGATTATTTCACTTATACCTGCTCTCCACTAGACCTTGAACTTCCTGGGGGCAAGGGCTATGTCTGTCTTTAATCACTATTGTAGCCCAGCATCAAGCTCGGAGCTTGGGATAAAGTAGATGCTCAAGAAATACTTGCAGGGGTGGGGATGTAGCTCAGAAGTAAAGCACTTGCCTAGCATACACACAGCCCTGGGTTTGATCCCCAGTATGTCTCCATACACACGTAATACATGAATGTGAAAATTGGCCCTGAGCACCTATGTGTGCATCGCCGGGTGTGTCTGAGGAGAGGGGTGGGGTGGGTGTTTGTGCACGTGCATCTGCATGCATGTGGGTAGGAGTGTCTAGGAAACAGCAACTGTCACTCAGCGCTGCTGCAATCCTTGGCATGCAGGCCTCACCGCCAGTGTCCAGTATGATGTCCCGTGGAGAAAGGCTAGGGAGCCCCGCTGTCTCCCCACTTCCAGTCCGTGGAGGACACGTGATGCATGGGGCGGCCTTTGCCTATGTGCCGAGCCCTCAGGGTGAGTGCTGTTGCCACACCCTGGACCACGCTTGTCCATAGTTGTCCACATCCCCGGTGAGGCCCCGGCTCTTCCATTTGCCTCTCCCCCTCCCTGGGCCCCTGGGGCCTCTGGGAGCTGCTAACTAGCCTCCTTCCCCAGTCCTGCACAGGATCCCAGGGACAACCGCCTATGCCTTCCCCAGCCTGAGCCCAGTGGCCCTCACAGAGCATGGCTGTCCCTATGGAGAGGTCTTGGAGCTCCATGACCCACTACCTGCCAAGGTGGCCCTGGAGGAGGAACAGAAGCCAGGTTGCCTGGGCCAGGGGGCAGCAGGGGAAAGGGTAGTCATGGCCCTGGTCCCCTGCCTGCTATGCTCATGCCTGGCCTGCCTCCAGAGCCCAGACTGGTCCAGAAGGTGCACCAGGTTGGCACCACGCTTCTCAAGGTACCACTGATGCTGGCTTTCCTCTACCTCTTTGTCTGCTCCCTGGATGTGCTCAGCTCAGCCTTTCAGCTGGCCGGAGGTAGGGTCTAGTTAGAGGAGGCCAGGGAAAGGTTTCGGGAGGATCTCAGATGACACTGGCTTGTGCTTCCCAGGGAAAGTGGCTGGAGACATCTTCAAGGACAATGCCATCCTGTCCAACCCAGTGGCAGGGCTGGTGGTGGGGATCCTGGTAACTGTACTGGTGCAGAGCTCCAGCACTTCGACGTCCATCATTGTCAGCATGGTCTCCTCTGGCTGTGAGTGGACCAGGGCAAGAGCCTAGGGTGCTGGGTGGTCTGGGGGGCGTGTCAAGGGTGTGTGATGGGGGCAGGACTGGGATGGGGGAGAGGGCTGAGGGCAAAGGGCAGGGCTCTAACATCTGTCCTCTAAAGCAGAGCCAAGAGTCTGTATTATGATTTATTGCAAAGAATTGCTTTGCTCAGTTGTGGCACTGGCTAGTCAAGTCTGAAATTCGCAGAGCAATCTGGAAGAACAAGCTGGAATTCCTGGGCAAAAGCCAATGCTGACATCCATAGGTGAAAATTCTTCCTCAGGGAAGCCTCGGTTTTGTCTTTAAGGCCTTTCTTCCCATTGAATGAGGGCCATCTAGATTATCAAGCATAATCTCCTTTACTTAAAGTCAACCAATGGTGGGTGAAAGTCACATCTATGAAATACCTTCACAGAAGCACCCAGGTTTGTGCTTGACAGAATAACTGGACACTATAAACTAGTGATGTTGACACACAAAACCAACCAGTACACTTATGTGCACGTATACACACACAAGCACAAATATGTGTTTATATATGAGACCTCACAGTGCATGCACACACCTGCACATACTTACCCTGTATAGTGCTTGTACATCTAGTCACACTGACCATGGGACTAACAGGTGTTGTGGGGATGGAGTCAGGTGGCCCTCACCTAGTTAAGTAAGAAGTCACCTTGCCAGATGTGGTGACATATTCCTGTAATCCCAGCACTTGGGAGGCTGTGGCAGGAGGATGACTGTAAGTTCAAGGCCAGCCTGAGCTCCATAGTGAGTATAGGCCAGCCTGAACTGCATAGTTGAGACCCTGTCTCAAAAAAAGAAAAAAGAAGAAAAACTAAAGAAGTCACCTCTTCTGCCAGTGCTGGAGGTGAGCTCTGCCATCCCTATCATTATGGGCTCCAACATCGGCACCTCTGTCACCAACACCGTCGTGGCCCTGATGCAGGCAGGGGACAGAGCTGACTTCCGGCGGTGAGGAGAGGGTAGGAGGGTGGGGTTTTTGCTTGTTGGGGGAGGGTAGCCCCACATACTTGGAGCTTCCAGGATGAGTGCATCCTGGCTCCAGCCCAACCTGCAACATGGCCTCCCTGCCCAGGGCCTTTGCAGGGGCCACAGTGCACGACTGCTTTAACTGGCTATCCGTTCTGGTTCTACTGCCCCTGGAGGCTGCCACTGGTTACCTGCATCACATCACTGGACTTGTGGTTGCCTCCTTCAATATCCAAGGAGGCCGTGATGCCCCTGATCTTCTTAAAATCATCACGGAGCCGTTCACAAAGCTCATCATTCAGGTGGGGACAGGGCCTGGCATGGGGTCAAGGCTGGAAGTAGTAAGAAACATCACCCTCACTCTCCACTCTCATTTTGCTCACAGCTAGACAAGTCTGTGATCACCAGCATTGCCACAGGGGATGAGTCCTTGAGGAACCACAGTCTCATCCGGATCTGGTGCCACCCAGACTCCATGGAGGTGAGTCTCAAGCCTGGCCTTTTAATTTCATGGCTCACAATGCTCCAAAAAGTCCTTGTAGATCATTTAGCCAGGAGAGAGCAAATATAAGTTACTTTTTCCGTGATACTGTGCCCATGGCAGACATTGCTAATCCGTTTCAACCTCACACATTGCTTTAGGCAGACATCACCAATCAATTAGAGTTGATGTGTAATTGATCTAACCCAGTAGTTCTCAAAGTATGGTCCATGAAGCACTAACATCAATACCACCTGGGCAGGTACTGGAAATTTAGATGTACATCCTTCCCTAGAACTACTGAAGCATGCTTCAACAAACCCTCTGGGTTTGCTCATGCTCAAGTTTGAGAGCCACTGATGTAGTCAGCTCTCTGATTTCACGAGTAGATAGAGGCTCAGAAAGGCTAGGAAACTTGCCAGCGCTTGTCTGCTGTGTCAGGGCCTGAGGATACCAGTGGGGTTAGTGACTCAGATCTGCCATGTTTGGGGGCCCAGGAAATATGGGAGAGAAGGCAAGAAGAAAATGCTATAAAGGACATTTGGGGAAACTAGGATGCGTAAGGACCTAGCTCAGGAGCAAGACACGTGAGCTGCTGCGTGGAGACCTCCTTGAGACACAGCAGCCAGTTGTGCTGGTCCTGGAATGCCTTCTCCTAGACTATACAAGTGTGAGTCCCTTGTCCTGTGCTGTTTCTGCTGCTTCTACTACCCAGAAGAACTATTGAGGTTGGTTGGACACTCATGGACTAGTCATTATGCCAGGGTAACAAGGAAGTGGGCAATTAGCATACTTTCCTACTCAGCCATAAAAAGGAAAATGCTGCAAGACCGTAATTCACCACATTTTCTTCACCTTAATTATTAATATAAGAACCAATTATATTTAGAACAAGCTCTGAGAAAATCTGAAGCCCATAGTCCCAGCCTAAGCCTTTCCCCCTCATTCCCTCTGCTTGCTGTTTGATGGTACGGGAGCTTTATCTCAGCATGAACAGAAAACACTCAGTCAACTTGCCCTACCACGTTCCTTTGCATCGAGTGGCACACAGCTCGAACTCAGCCTTTCTGAGAGTTCAAGGCAGCTTGACATGAAAAAGCCCATGTGGATCGCTTTTATGCTGGTTTATGACCTCTCTGACACATCAGCTATCTTCTTATGAGCTCTTTGGGCACTCTGAGAGCTCTCTGAATCACCACAGCCTCTCTACTGTAGAGCAAAATCTAGTCTACAGCCATACCACCCTCTATGCACCTGATCTCATCTGCAGAACAAAAGAGAGAAGAGAGAGAGGAAGAGAGAGATTCCACACTGATTTTCACACACAAAAAGGAAAGCTTCTTTTGCTCCCCACTTCCTCTGAGTTGCCCGCTGTCCACCTGCTGCGGCAGTAAGCAGGTTTCCACTTGCGTGATGTGTCATGTCATCTAATGCAATCCTCATGCAATGTCAGTGAGGTGGACACAAGGAACCCTCTTTACAAAAACAGAAACTGAAATTCAACCATGTGAAGGAAGCTCCTGCATTCACCTGGCTGGGGCTGCCTTCCGGCTCTTTGCTACTGCTCCAGTTGCCACTTGCTAAAGCTCTGGTTTCATGTGCTCACTCTATCAGGAAATCTTTTCCTTAGAGCAGCTTGGAAGCTAGGTGGGGATGGGACGAGTTCCCTGTGCTCACCCTCCGTCAGGGACTTTTGCCCATAGGAACATGATTCATGCCCCATGCTCTTATGATGTGCATCAGTGGCTCCTCCTGCACCAAAGACTGTACTGAAGTCTTTCCTTTGATTCCTTTTCTTTTCTTTTTTTGTACCAGGAATCGAACTCAGGACCTTGCTCTTGCCAGGCAGGCACTTGTGCCGCTGAGCCATATCCCCGGCCCACTTTCCTTTGATTCCAAAGTCCCACTGTACTATACTGTACTTCCTTCCAACTTCTCATTGCTTCCAGCTTTTACCACTCGGGACCTAACCTTGCCTGGCCAGTCTCCAGGGACCCTGTGTCACCAAGGAAAGAATGAGTCTTAAGCATTCCAGATGGGAAAAGTAAAAACATACACACTTTTGATGTTTCAATGGCTTCTGGACGTTCTTCAGGTCTGGCACTGTCCAAAAATTACCTTTTAGGGGCCAGGGATATATCTAGTGGCACAAGCATCTACCTGGCAAGCGCAAGGTCCTGAGTTTGATTTCTGTACCAAAAAACAAACAAACAAACAAAAAATTACATTTTTGTAGGGTCAGAATGTGGATTGTCAACCGTACTTGCCTGATTTAAATAAGTATCTTTTGAGGACTTGTGGCCTGGGAAACAGGGTTTATCCACCCCCTACTTTACAGCTTAGGAAACAGCCTTACCCCAGAGGTACAGTGGTTTGTCCTAGTTCATAACTGAGGTGTGAATCCTGGTGGAATCCTGGCTCCTCATCTTTCTGCCTCTCCAAGATACCAGTTTGAGCCAGGTATGGGGGCACATACCTGTAATCCCAACAGTCAGGAGGCTGAGGCAGCAGGACCATTGCAAGTTCGAGATCAGCCTGGGATACAAAGTGAGCTCAAAGTCAATCTGAACTGCTTAGCAAGACATTGTCTCAAAAAACAAAACAAACAAAAAGATACCAGCTTGACATCCCACCATATATGTCCATTTCCCATTCTGCACGTCAGGCTTGAGTGCCACTCCAGGGGTAGTAGGTAGGTGTTACTCTGAGGATAAATCTTTTTTTTTAAGAGGATCTCACTGTGTAGGTCAGGCTGTCCTTGAACTCACTATGTAGCCCAGGCTGGCCTCAAACTCATGGCAATCCTTCTGCCTCAGTCTCCATAGTGCTGAGATTAACAGGCCTGTGTGCCACCACACCCAGTTTGTAGTGATAAATTCTCCTTTTAGCCACCAGATGGAGCTGCTAGCACAGCGCTATCTAGGGCTTACAGAAGAACAAAGGCCCTGAGCTTCCTTCCTCTGGAGGGGAAATTATTCCGCAGGCCCACATCCTGTGTGTTTCTCCCCTGGGAAAGGATTCTTGGAGCCTGATAGTCCTCTGTGACCTTAATCACTTCCTTCAGTTCCCAGAGGCGGCTCCTTAATTTGGGGTGTCCCTACAGGCGCTTAAATCCCAACTCCCTCTTCCAAGACTCTGCCAATTAGCCCTTGGGGAAAGGCACACAACGTTACCCGTCCCATGCCATGGAAAAGGCAAGGGAGGCTCAGGACAAGTGTGTGGTTCAGGGTCACACAGCGGGGAATGGCTGAGCTGGGGTGGGGTCCAGGGTTATGGGAGGCCTGTTCCTCTGTTCTTCCCTCAATCCCCTCTCCTCACCTCCTTCCGCTCCTCTACTCAGACCTTAGGCCCAGGCAGGATGGGCACATGCTGGGAATAGGCCCCAGATGCTGGGCCTGCGGGCCTTTATCTAGGCTGGAGTTTCCGCCTTCTGCTTTGCCCTGCAAAAAAGCCCCAGGGGAATGCTGCCTTGCCTTGTTCCTCCTCCAGCTTGGTTTCACAGTCAGTCACCTCCCTTTGCCCCAACTGCTGCCTTTATATTCCCTGGGTTCTTTAGGCTCTCTGACACCCCGGTGGACTCAGCTAGGGCCATACAACACCAGGTGGAAAATTCAAGGTTCCAGAACCCCAAGGGTGTGGCTAGGGATATAGCTCAGTGGTACAGCGTGTACGTAGCATACATGAGGCTTTGCGTGGTAGCATCAGCACACATACAAAACCCAAAGGCTTTAGCCGTTAGTTTTGTCCTGCCCATGACTTCCAGCCCTCAATAGAGCTCCTTATCCTCCTCTAATCTCTCAGGCCCCCAGGAGAGGGCCCAGCCCAGAATGATCAATGGGGTACAGGTTGATGATCAGTTAGGCACCCACAGGGGGTCATCTGTTTCCTAGGGTTCCAGGACAGGGATACCCCCCGAAGTCCACCAAGCTCCTCCTCAGCAAGTCTAGGATCCCCAGGCATGTTTGCAAGAGCAATTGAGGTTCTAACCAAAGAAGTCAATCACATACCACATGATTCTGATGGGCCCAGGGAAGGAAACTATCTATTCCTTACTTGTAGACACAGTTGATAAGACTTGTCATGAACCAAGCTCCTTTTCTTTTTGATTTTTTGGTTTGAGGCAGGGTCTCACTTGAGAGGCCCTGTAGTGAGGGCTGGTCTCGAACTCACTTGTGTAGCCCAGGCTGTCCTCCAACTCACAGCAATCCTACTGCCTCAGCCTCCTGAGAGCTGGGATTATAGGCATGCACCACCAGGCTCGACTCAAGCCCTGCAGAGATGGCTTTATGTACACTTTCTTTTGTAAGCATTATAACAGCTTTTTCTTTCACTATCCTGTTTTAAAGAAATCTGAGTCAGAGAGGTAGCATGACTGACGCAATGTAGATAGTATAAAAAATAGGATTTAAACTCAGATCTGCCTCACAGCAAACACCTGACTGTCTCGCTTAGCTGCACAGTAGGTAGTTACCATCACTGTCCCAGCCTGATCTTCTAATCTATTCCATCAGAGATTGTTTTTTTCCTGGTTTCTCAGCCTGCAGTTCAGGCCCCAGGCTTGACAGTGCCCTAAGGCCCAGACAAGGGGAACTGGCAACACAGATAAATACATTTCCCTACCTGAGGGGGCACATCCCACTGAAATAAACCCTAACTTTGCCATAAATAATTCTTATCTCCATCATACTCCCAACCTGCCCCATCACACTTTCCTCCCCCACCCGTGCTGGGATGGAGCCCAGGGCTTTGTGCAGGCTTGCCAAGTGCTCTACCCCTGAACTATACCTGCAGTCCCATCATATTTATATATAATGGCACAGTTTCGAACAAGACCTCAAGAAGCTGTAAATGTCTCCTTACCCCTCCTGAACCCCCACCCTCAGCACAGGGGTGGGGTGGGGGATACCAGAGGATCCACGATGGGGCTCTGGATACAGAGCCGCTGGGGGATGGGCCTAAGTTCCAGCAGAGGTAGAATGAGGCCAACAGGGAGAAGTTGTAGCGCTCATATTCTGCCTGGAAGCGTGGTGGCCCTTGCTGATGTGTGGCTCTAGGAGTGACTGCTTCTTTCTGAGCCCCTTTTATAAATGGCTTCTCCCCACCAAACCTATCCTATTTTCTCCTGTCACTCTTGGGTGATTGCTAGACAAAAATAATTGCCAAGAGCCCTAGGTTGCATTTTAAATAATAACTGCTTACCCCAACAAGGCTACACAGTAGTGGTCCACAAGCCAAAAAAGGTCTGCTTCTATGGCCCTAGAATTCTACTACCTAGAGTTGTATGTATGTCTCAGAGTAACTGCCAACATTTACAGAGATTGTAAGGATTTTATCTAAAACTTCAGAATTATGATTTCTCTTATAAAATTGGCCAATTGGACCATGCTGGATAATGACAGTGGCTTAGACCTAAGTTGTTCCTGCCCCTACAGACCCAACACACTCTCCAACACACTCACATGCAGCCTGGGTCCCTCATTCAGAATGGGGAATCTTGGGGCTGGGGATTTAGCTCAGCGGCACAGCACCTGCCTGGCAAGCACGAGGTCGTGAGTTCGATTCTCGGTACTGGAAAAAAACAAAACAAAAAAAAACAGGATGGGGAATCTGAGAAAGTCCTCACTTCAGGACAGGTGGTGGGAAGGGAAGTGATGGGGGCTGGACACTGTCCCACCAACTATTCTGTCCCCACTGGATCCCTCAGGGTAAGAAACAGAGCACTAGAGAAGGGAGCTTAGGCTAACCAAGGGCTTAGGGGTAAGGAGGGGGCCAGAATGCTGAGGAGGAGAGAGGAGCACCAAGAAAGGGGTCAGTAAAAGACCTGGAAGGGGGGTTCTCAGAAAAAGAGGACTATGGTCAGTGGCATCCAGTGCCACTGAGAGATGAAAGAAAACAAAGAAGCAACCAGTTGAGGCAATCAGAAGCGTCCTGCTGGGTCCAGTGAATCCTACTCCATGGAAATGCAGAGGGCCCTCTGTGGCCTGGTTCTTGTGTGTCAAATATTTCATTATATTTTTCACCAGAGTAATGGGACCAGAAAGAGCAAATAACCTATCCATAGTAACAGAGTCAAGAAAACCATCTCTACCTTCCTAATCTCTCCCTAACTGCCATCCCAGCCCCCATCCCAGGTTGCATTTTCCTATATTCACTAAATCACCTTCTTCTTAATCTAGGCTTCTACCTTGTCCAGGGCAGAGGCCAATGCCAGCCAGATCCGTGGAAATGTCACCATGGAGAAATGTAAGCACCTGCAACGTGGGAGGCTATCCTGCAGCAGCAAGGCCACCTGGTGTGGAAGCTAGAGAAGCCAGGTGGAGCCCTAAGCTCACAGCCCCAGAAATGGCCAAGGAGCACCGGGCTTGGGGGTCAGCTCTCAGCAACTCAATATTCCCCCTGCAGGTAATCACATCTTCGTGGACACGGAGCTGCCTGACCTGGCCGTGGGGCTCATCCTACTGGCTGGCTCCCTGATGCTCCTGTGCACCTGCCTCATCCTCCTTGTCAAGATGCTCAACTCGCTGCTCAAAGGCCAGGTGGCCAAGGTCATCCAGAAGGTCATCAACACTGGTAAGCCATGAGCAGTAGGTGGAAAGCTACAGGGCTGGGCAGGCCCCAAGAGAGGCCCTTTTGGCCCTGCTAGATTCTGCCACTGCCTAGATCTGGATAAAGCCCTACCATCTATGAGCCTCAGTTTCCCCACTGACCACAAAAGAGATCAGACTAGGCAATTCACAGGCTCCTCGGGTGCTGACAACTGGAGAGCTGGGGCTGCCTCTGGCTGTGGTTTCACCCTAGAAGGTGGAGATTCTCAGAAGTCATTTGTTAAATCAACAAATAGACATTAAGAGGCTACTGTGTGCCAAGGGATATGGGGTGAGGCAAATAGAGATGAATCCTAATCTAAAGGGGCTTACAACCCAGCAGGGGAGACAATGAGAAGTAAGTGAATGAAGATAAATTTGAAGAAAAACAAAAATAACTGCCAAGAGCAGAGCAAGAAAAGCAATACAATAGAGCATGGAATAGGCGAACCTATGGCATGTGTGCTGTTTGTATCACTGAAAGCTCTGAAAGGCTTCCCATCACTGTGCGAGGCCATCTTCAGTGGGTAATCAGGCCTCTCCGAGGAGGAAGTATTTGAGCAGAGATCTAAATGAGGAGTCAAGATGTGGATGAAGACAGGTATAGCACATTGGTAGAGTGTTTGCTTAGCATACACAAGACAGAGTTCTACTCCCAGCACTGTGAAAAAAGAAAAGCTGTGGGTAAAGAGGATTGGGGTTGAGGGAACAGCAAGGACAAAGACTAGGATGCAAGAAGCAGTTTGGCAGGTTTGTGGCACAGAAGGGTGACCACAGTATGGTGGGAGCATAGTCAGCTAAAGCAGAGAGGCAGGGTAAGGTCAGGGAGGTGACGGCGCTGGAGTCAGAGCGCAGGGCCGCTGGAGCAGCTCAGAGCCTGGACTTTAAGAAAGGCAATGGGAGCACTGGCAGGGCAGGGTGGGACAAAGCCGGGGACTGACACCAGCTGATTCCATTGTAAACTTCCCTTTGAGCTTTTGGTGTACTGCCTGGCCTTGGGAAAGGCTGCCTGACAAATGCAGGAATAAGAGGCATTCATGGGGCTGTGGGAGCTCAGAGGAGGAAGAAACAGAGAGGGTGGGGTGGCATGGGCTTAGGGGAGACTTTCCAGTAAGGAAGTGCTAGCTGCATGGAGCCTGAGTTGCTATCTACACTGACCTTCTGTATCCACAGGCTCTGAATCTGCAGATTCAATAGACCATGGCTCAAAAATACTTGGAAAAAATTACATCTTTCCTGAATATATGCAAAGATTTTTCTTGTCATTATTCCCTATACAATGAAGCATAACAACTATTTACATAACCTTTGCTTTGCTTTGGGTATTACAAGAGATCTAGAGATGAGTTAAAGCACATGGGAAATGTGCTTTAACTGTATGCAAATACTATGGCATTTTATAAAAAGGACTGGAGCATCCACAGATTTTGGTGTACAAAGGCATCTCCTGAGGATGCTCAGGGAAAACTATATTTAAATGCTGAGTAGGAGATTCCAGGTAAAGGGAACAGGCAGGACAAAAGCAAGGTAGCATGATGATACCAACCAAGAAAGATCTATAATCCAAGATCAAAGAAGGGCAAACAGAAGCCACTGCAGTTGAGCAGGGGCCTGGCTAGGTCCTAGCAGGACCCTGGTATCCAAAAGACCTCCCAAGAAGGTGCTGCTCTCCCAGTGCCCTCCCACTGAGCCAGCCTGCTGGGCCTGGGGTTTTCTTGCAGATCTCCCTGCTCCCTTCACCTGGGTCACAGGCTACTTTGCCATGGTGGTAGGTGCTGGAATGACCTTCATTGTCCAGAGCAGTTCTGTGTTCACCTCAGCCATCACCCCACTCATTGGTGAGTGCTGAACAGAGATGTGTTGGGGGACAGGGGGAGCTGAAGAGCTGAAGGAGGAACTCAGGAAGCACCATGTCCTCTCCCTTGTCCACCAGGCCTGGGGGTGATCAGCATCGAGAGGGCCTACCCCCTCACACTGGGCTCCAATATTGGCACCACCACTACGGCTATCCTGGCAGCACTGGCCAGCCCCAGGGAGAAGCTGTCCAGCTCCTTCCAGGTGCGTTGGGGAAAAGAGTGCTGCCTCAGCAGGATGGGGCTAGGACTAGGCACACTGGGGCTAGGGCGCAGGGCCTGACCAAGCGTGTGATAACATGTAACTGTTGACTAAGTTTGATTGCCCGCCAAGGCTACCTACAATGGGCTTGGTAGAAACCATTATGGGCAAAGTTGACTTTGATTCCAACTCCAAGACCTTGGTGTCTCATAGGGATACACTGCTCAGTAACTGTACAAATAATGAGTAACAAGTTGGATGAGGCTGGGAGCCTGGCCCAATCTGAAGCATCGAGAAAGCAGAGCTGGGGAGGAGGGGGCAGATGGCAAAAGGAGAACTGTTCTTGAAACAAAGGAGCCACTGACAAGATACAGCACTGACCAATTAAGAGCCCCAGAGCAGATAAGCCAGAAACTAGTATTAATCTTTTACCTGCTGGATTTTGGCAGTATCTGCTGGAGAGTTCCTGACAAAGGGTCAGTACAGGAAATGTGGAAAGTTCAGGGCAGTGGATGTTTACCAACTGATCTGGAGATATCTCACTATTTTAACAACCAGTGCAGCTATGCTGGGGTGATCTGGGGACTCATCCGCCCGAAGTGGTGACTTCCCAGCTACCTAGATGAGGTCAGGCACCTATTATCTCTCCTGCTGGCCCAACATGGCAGCTTCTGCCCACCTCAGTTCCTCCGCTCCCTCCCCTGCAGATTGCCCTCTGCCACTTCTTCTTCAACATCTCCGGCATCCTGCTGTGGTACCCACTGCCCTGCATGCGCCTGCCCATCCGCATGGCCAAGGCCCTGGGCAAACGCACAGCCAAGTACCGCTGGTTCGCTGTCCTCTACCTCCTTCTCTGCTTTCTGCTGCTGCCCTCGCTGGTGTTCGGCATCTCCATGGCAGGCTGGCAGGCCATGGTGGGTGTGGGTGCACCCTTTGGGGCCCTGCTGGCCTTTGTGCTGCTAGTCAATATCCTACAGAGTCGAAGTCCAGGACACCTGCCCAAGTGGCTTCAGACATGGGACTTTCTGCCCCACTGGATGCATTCTATGAAGCCCCTGGACCAACTCATCACCCGTGCGACTTTATGCTATGCCAGGCCCGAGCCCCGCTCACCCCAGTTGCCTGCAAGGGTCTTTCTGGAGGAGCTGCCTCCCGCCACACCTTCCCCCCGCCTTGCACTACCTGCTCACCACAATGCCACCCGCCTGTAGGCTGCAGGCCCAGACAACTGCCTGGAGATGGAAAGGCCTGTGCACAGAGCCCAGGGTGGATGGAGAGGGGTATGTGTGCTCGTGCGTGTGAGCACATGCCACCCTGGTGTGCATGTGTCTGTCACCCTTGGATGCCTATCCTTGTGCAGATCCACAGAGGTATGGGCTTGTGTGACGGAGAGGCAATATGCACGTGTGAATGTTTAGGGGTTTATCTGTGTCTATCAGTGTAGGCATAGAAGCCAGTATTTGTGTACACACGTGTATCCGGCTATGCATGTGTACAGATGTACCTGTGGGAGGCCGTGCATAGGTTGCAGGGGATCTGGATATGATTTCAAGACCTTTGCCATGTGTATCGAGGCTTGCATCTATGTCCTTGTCTACTTGAGACTTTGCTGGGCAGGTGACTCTGACTAGGTGACTGCATAGCTGTCTGCCTGGGTGCCAGAGTCACCAATTGAGTTACACCCCTACTTGCCACCTTCCTTCCTCCATGATGCTGTTCTCACCCTTACTCAGGGCTCAGTGCCACCACTGCAGTCCTTTCCCAACCTTGCACAATGAGTAAAAGGAAGGCATTTAAAACTCTCAACCATTTGGAAGTCTTTTTTGCTCTGCATCTATGGGAGGGAAGTTAAAATCGAGGCATGGGGTTCAACAACACTATCTCCCCTCAAACATTCGCTGCAATGGCAGCCCATAGGCCTTTGAGAACTTCACCCCAACACTTTACCTGGCCCCACCTTCATGAGCTCCACAGTTTGAACTCCCTGGAAGCCTAGAAGCTAGGGCCTGGGGCCACCCTCAAAGTAAGTATAAGTAAGACTCGCTCGCTGCCCCTCCATGGCCTGACCCCCAACAGGCTGTGCCTCTGCTGAACCTACCTGCCTTAGCCATACACTCACTCCTGCTGACAGGGATCAGATCAGTGCTGCAGAATGAGTAACAAGTGGGGGCTTGTCAGGGACACTGGAGGAGGAAACAAGGAAGGTGGAGACAGCCAAAAGAGGCAGGGACCAGACACCCTCCCACCTTTGTTCCCACTGAGCAACCAACCAGGCCTTATTTAAACCTATGCAAGCTTTCCAGCTCTTCCTTTTCCATAGGGCGCTCTGGAGCCGAGGCCTGCAGAGTAAGGATCAAGGGGTGGGGGTGGGGGCCAAAGTCCATCCCTCCTGTCCAGGGACTCTTCTGGACCCTTTAGGCCCCAAGAGGAAAGGAAGACTGTGGGACCCCAAACCCAGCTTTGATGCTCTTATACATGCTCCTCCCAGAGGCTCTCCTCTGAGGCTTGTGGGAGAAGATGCAGGTGCCTGGGGCCCCCAGAACCGCTCTATACACACCAACGCCATCCTGTCACCACTCAGCCCACACCAGTGCTCTGCCAAGAGGAAGGGTCAGGAGTGCAGCCAGGCGTCCGTATCCAAGGGTCCCACGCCCATTGATTCCACCAATGGTAGTAGAGATGACTTAAAATACACAAATCCTCTGCCGTTTTATACAGGGATTTTAGTAACCTGAGGGTCCTGGAATCAATCTGCAAGGCTACTGAGGGAGGGTTGCACACTACCTCCAGCCTGAAACCCTGACCTCTCCACCCTATTTGAGTGTGCCTGGGGAGAACGGTGCTGGCAGGATGGGAAGGGACGCCTTTCTCTGTCCTGCCTAGGTGCCTGGAAATTTCCATAAGAGGCTGCTAAGGCCCGGGGTAGAGTTTGAAAAGCCTCCCACCTTTTGATTCTTCCTCAACAAGGAGGAGGGGTTCCCCTAGGAGCCCAGGAAAGTGCTGAGAAGCAGCAATCAGACCAGAGGCCTCTCTGCAAGCATCCATAGATGGGGATTGCTGAGCAGACTCTAGATTTAGAATTCCAGCCCACCAGGAACACTCTCCTGCAAGGATCTTCCCATAAACTCATTTCCTGATTTGCCAACTCCCCACGCGCAATCAGAGGATGAGCCCACGACACCCAATTCACAGTTTATTCTGGTCTCGCTGCCACCGTGGGTGGCCTAACTGTCACGCTACATGCCCTCCATGCACAGCTGGCAGAGCAACTCGTGCATCTTCTTATTGAGCATGCCCCCGTGCACGCCGCGCCGACCCATGAGCACGAGGAGAGCGCGCGGCGTGCGGCCGACACAGATGGCGCGCCCGTCCAGGCCCTTGGTGCGCGCGTCCAGCACGCCATCGCCCTCGGCCAGTAGGTAGTCACGAATGACACAGCAGCGGCGGCCCGCCAAGCTCAGGCCAGTCTGCAGGAAAGTGTGCCGGTCCGGCCCCGCGAGCACGGCCACTTCCTGCGGGGAGATGGCAGCCAGCAGGCCCCCAGGCCGCGATGCCCACACACAGCGATTGTCCGAGTGGCCCACGATGGCCACGTCGTCAATGCGCTGGTCCCGCAGCACCGCGCTGATGAAGGTCTTCCAGTCGCTCATTGCCCGCGCAAGGAGCGTGCCCCTCCGCCTACTGCTGGGAGGGAAGTCCCGCCGCTGGGCCAACTAGGAACGCTGGGGACACTGTGACGTACGCGGGGGCGGGGTTGTGACTAGACAGGGTGTTGTCACAGACTGTTACCTAGGCTGGAGAATGTGGGGGCGTTCATGTTTTATGTGTGGGAAATTCTAAAGTTAGCATACAGGAAGGAATTGAGGACCACTCAAAAGGACTCTAGAAAACCAGTATAAATGGCTCATTAAAAATGGGGTTCGGCGCATGCCTGTAATACCACCATTCAGGAGGCTGAGACAGAAGGATCACTGCGAGTTCGAGGCCAGCCTCAGATACATAGTGAGTTCAAGGCCAGTATGAACTGCAGAGCAAAACCCTGTCTAAAAAAAAAAGGATGGGATCTCCAGGTATGGTGGTGCATTCCTGTAGTCACAGCACTCAGGAGGCTGAGGCATGAGGATCACTGTGAATTCAGTGCCAGTCTGAGCTGTATAGTGAGTTCAAGGCCAGTCTGAACTACATGGTGAGATCCTGTCTCCAAAATAAAACAAAACCACAGATGGGGTTAAGGCACTCATGGTGGTTCACACCTGCAATCTCAGTGCTGTAAGAGGTTGAGGATTGCAAGTTCCAGCCCAGTTTGGGCAATTTAATGAGCTCCTGTCTCAAAATAATAAAAAGGGCTGGGGATGTAGCTCAGCACAAGGGCCCTAGGTTCAATCCCCAGTATTGAAAAAAAAAAAAAAAAGTTTAAGAACAAGAACAAAAAAGATGCCTCATCTGGACAGCTGGACTTCTCAGCCTGTAAGAGGAAACGATTCAACCTCCAGATGGTGGCTCCCAAATGCCCAGGAAGACTGTTGGATTGATTGCTTCAGTAATCTATCTACAATAGAGCCTAAGAATTTGTATGTCTAACAAGGTGTTTGGTAATGTTGTTGCTGGTCAAAGGACTTTGGGATCCAGCGCAAGTTTGGGTAGACATGGGAGTATGTAATGTTGCCAGCACTCAGGGTACACACTACCATTTTGTTTAGCATCTCTTTTTTTTTTTTGTAGTGGGGATGGAACTCAGGACCTTACGCTTGCGCTTGCCAGGCAGGCGCTTATGCCACTGAGCTACATCCCCAGCCCTAACATTAAGCATTTCTAACTACAGTGCTCAACCTCAGCCGCACGTAGAATCACTTGGGAAGCTTTAAAAACACTGCTATTCATGCCCCATCCCTAGAGATACCGATTTAACTGCTCTCAAGTGCATGTTGGGCACAGAAAGACTCAAAACCTCTCCAGGGCTGAGGTGTGACTTAGAGGTACTGGCCTCCTAAGTACAGGGAGGCCTTGGGTTTGACACAAGGGGCAGCGCTTCCCAAATGATTCTGATGTACAGCCAAGGCTGAGAAACATTGTCCTTAGATTTAGTTCCTTATGAGGAATATTTCCAGAGTCACCTTGCACAGGCCTGGTGCCCAGTAAGGCCCCAGTAAACGTTACCTGTACTGCAATCCAAAGCTCTTATGTTAAGATCTAAAGATCTCATCTAAAGATCTCATGTTAAGATCCTGTTCTGTGAGGGCAGTGTAACAACTACACACCCGTTTTCTCCCTTGCCATTTCCTGAGAAGCATTTACAAAGCATTTTATTGAGTCCCTCCACCCCTGGTGCCTGGCTAGTGATGCCGGAACAGGACACAATCTTTACTGTCTATGATCATGCCCCAGACAACTTCCCACACTGGAATAGCTCAGGAGGGAAAGACCAGTCCCTGGGCAATCAGGAAGCTGTGTGGTTCTGGATCCAAGTCAGGTATTTGGCCACATCAGTGTAGACACCAGGCTTGTTGCGGTCACCACAGCCAGAGCCCCAGCTGATGACGCCTCGAAGGGTGAGCCGGTGCTCTGCTGTCTCATCCTCGCACACCAGAGGGCCCCCGGAGTCACCCTGAGTCGGGAACACGCAGCTCAGCCCACTCGCCCTGCTCCCGACGAGCTTGGGGGAGGCACTAACCAGGCCCCAGGGCTCACCTGGCACGCGTCTGTGCCGCCTTCAAGGAAGCCGGCGCAAAGCATTCCAGGGAGAATGGCATCTCCGTGCACTTCGGGGGTGGAGCAGCGCTCCAAGGAGATGAAGGGCACCTGTGCCTCCTGTAGGAGGGTGGAATATTCCTCCGCTCCTGCGAACCCAGAGCACTTTCCTCACACCAATCCAGACAGCACCGACGCTTCTACCCTCACCCATGGCCCTTCTCGGCCACAGCAAGCCAGAGAGGGAGGGAGTTGCCGGCTAACTCGATTATCACAGACAAGGAAAGATGCCCACGGAGGAGTCGGGTTTGAATGGGCGGGGCCGAAGCAGAAAGCCCATCCCCGCCTCCCAAGCTGCGTCTCAGAACGCGCCACATCTCCTCTAGGCACCCTGACCAATACCAAAGTTGCGGGCTTCTCCAGTCTACTTTGGTGTCCTGAGGTCCCCCGACTGCCCCCAGCTGTTGTGCCTACCCTCGAACTGGTGGCCCCAGCCGGCCACCTCGCAGAGTGCAGCCTCGGATTCGCTGGAGGGTGGGGCGGCGCCTCGGGGCAGGCACACCGTCTGCACGTAAGGCGACAGTTGCGCGCAGCTGCCGTCCGCGCGCTCCTGCAGGCGCAGCAGAGCTAACCCAGGCGGGGAGGAATGTTAGGCGGAGACGCAGGGGCCTGGGGGCTGCCCGTCTTTTCTCCCCTCCCTGCGGGGGCGCCTGCACACACCCAGGTCGTGCTGGTAGGTGGTGGGTGAGAAGGCCTCGTGAAGGCGGTAGGAGCGCACGGCCAGCGTCTGGCAGTGCTCACAGCTCTGATTGTGGCGGTCCTGGCCAAGCACCACCGTCAGCTCCTCGGGCGCTGGGCTGCGGGCCGGGTGCAGGAGAGGCACCGTGCTCAGAGCGGGCGGCTGGCATTTGGGGGGAGTTCCCTGGTTCGAATTTTTCCCCAGGTTTTCAGCTTCCTTCTGGGCTTCAGAAGGGCGGGGTGGGGGAGGGCTAGGGTACAGGTTCAGGTAGGGGGCAGAAGCTAGGCTCAGGGACGGATGCGCTGGCTAGGGTTCCGGAGGTACTCGCCGGTTCTGCAGGCAGTGAGCCGCAGTCAGCACCCAGCAGGGGGCAATGAGGCTGCCGGAGCAGAAATTGTGGCCCCAGTACAGTGCGGCGATGTAGGGGTGCGCCCCAGGTAGTGCCACTAGTCCGCCGACAATACGACTCAGAGAGGACAACCGCTTCTGCAGCCGCTGTCCGCAGAGGACCGAGCTGGTCCTGGACGTTTCTTCTGCCAAGGCTACGGGAGAAGGTCAGGGAGACCTGTGCCCCCAATCTGGTTGGTCCTACTCCCTCTTTGCTGGGACTTCCCCATCTCGCCGACTACCTGGCTTCTGGGTCGTGGGCTGAGGCGTCTGCAACACTGAAAGCCCGGGACTGGGCAGGTCCTGACGCCCAAGGTGAACCTGGGGTGTAGATGCTGGCTGGGGTGGGGCCTGGCACTGTGCCAGGTCACAATACTCCCAGCTCAGCCGGTTTCCCATCCAGACAAAGCACCAAGGGCGGACGTCATTATCCGGGTTCCTGTAACCTCAAGAGGGGGCGCTGTTAGGGGCTGGGGAGCCCCTGAAGCTCTTGGGGAAGGGGTTGCCCTGCTCCGCCCCACCCGGTGCACCGGCAGAAGGCGTGGTGGCCCAGTCCCCGGCTCAGCGCTTGCTCCGCAGTCATGTTCCGGTAGGTGGCCTCCGAGGCCCACCGCTGACACTCGGCGCCAGAGACAGTAGTCCTGGCCATGCCGCGGTAGCTGAGCCCGCGGCCATCATAGCAGCTCGCCTCGGCGTCTGGGAAGAAAGGGGACTCCCTGCTGCGAAGGGTGGCGCTCCTGCCCCCACCTCGAGCCCACTTCCCCACTCTCCCTTGTTGCTCTGGGGAAGCCCTTCCCACGTGAGGGCTGGCCTCGCTTCCATCACTCACCCACGTCGCAGAAGGGTCCAGTGTAGCGCATCGGGCAATGGCACAGGTGGTGACCCTCCGCCTCGAGGCAGCGCCCCCCATTGAGGCACGGATTGGTGCGGCATTCTGGGGGAGGGGGCAAATGCAGCCGTTTCCTGCTAGTCTCGGGTTTCAGCCCTCCTCCCCGGCCAGTTTTCAACAGGTCCACCTACCCCGGCTGGCCACTGGCTTGCAGTGAACATCAGGACCCTTGCAGTGGCATTTGGCCGCACCTACTGGTCCCGTTCTAAGCCACATTTCGTTCTCATGGAAGAATCGGAGAAGCTGAGGCTCAAAGCACTTCTCTGGGAATAATGGGGGGGTGGGTTCCAGAGTGGCTGGGCCCATGGAGGGTCCCACCCATAGGAATCTCTTTAGCAGCTCTGGGGCTGCCCCTGTCCCACAATGCCCCCGCCAAGCATCACCTCATTACCTCTCTGGCAGTGTTTCCCAGTGAGGTGTTCTGGACAGAGGCAGTGGGGGCTGCTCAGCGTGTTCACACAGATCCCACCTCTCTGGCAGGGGTTGTGTTTGCTGCAGTGGTCTAGAGATAGAAACCAGGAGGAAGCAGGGTAAGCCTGAGTCACACAGGTGAGGGCCAAGTCCCTACCTGAACCTCCTTGTCACGGGACTTTAGACCAAGTTGCCATGTCTTTGTTTACTCATCTACAAAACCAGGCTATCTCTTTTCAGAACTCTCCCTCGGGCCTTCTAAAGGGTGTTGCAAAGCCAGGGAAGGGTCTCGGCCCAGAATCCAGATGTGTGAGGTCTGATGATACCCAGGAACAGAACTGGCGGGGAGAGGGCCCTGGGCCACTCCAGATGCGGTGGGGCATACCTTTCACTTTCCTGGGCTCCAGGCAGTACGACCATTGCTGGTCCTGATCAAAGTTGGGGGTGGTGGCACACCTGCAGAAACAGAGGAGGCTTCCCTGTTCTGCCAAGGGGCTGGCCTGCTCTCCCCTCCCACAGCCCTTCTCTGAGCAGGGTGCCTGGATGGCAGGAGGGCAGAATCCATGCCTCCCAGGCCCCACTTCAACCCTCTTACCAGGGCCGGGGGCCTGGCCGGCCCTTGTGGATACATTTGTGGTACAGCTGCCGGTGGTACTGGAAAGGGAAGTGGCAGGGCTCCCCGGTGACAGTAAGACCTGTGGAATAACACACTTCTTGAAGCCCTCCCCTGTTTCCAATTGCCCAGTCTCTGCCTCACAAAGATAGACCCTCTAAAATGTTGGGCACTCAAGAAGCATCTTGCTGATGATCTTGTAGATGGGCATGATGGTACATGCCTGTAATCTCAGCACTTGGGAGGCTGAAGCAGAAGGATCACTACCAGCCTGAGCTATTAAATAAATAAATAAACAAACAAACAAACAAACATGGTTCTAGAGTCAGATGACTGGGAAAATTACTGACTCTGCCACTCACTAGCTGCGTGAGCTTGGGCAAATCTGTAGCCCTAAGGCCTAGAAGAATGCTTGCTCCAAAGTTGACATTTAATAAATGTTTGTTGAACTTTAAAGTCACATAAACATTTTGAGCCTTAGTATCCTCATCTGTAAAATGGCAATAATAATAAAGTCAATCCTTATTATTCACCAATTTTATATTGACAAATCTACCTACGTGATAAAATGTACTGTAACCCCTAAATCAATACTTGCAATTTGGGCTGAGAGTGTAGCTCAGTGGCAGAATGCTTGCTTAACATTGTACAAGGCTGTAGGTTTGGTCCCAGCAGTGGAAGAATACAAGTACTTGCAATGCTTTCATGGTCATTTGTGGGCATACACCAAGTGTTACATGCGTACATTCCCAGCTGAGGTCCCAGAAGGTGACACTCTGCTTTCTTCTTTCAGCTCTCACACTGTAAATAAATGTCTTTTTTCACAATCTACTTAGTGTAGTGTTTTTTCCCCCACATTTTGTGCTTTTTATGGTAATTTTGCCATTCAAAATAGCCTCCATGCCTATATGGTCTGTGTTCCTAAAGTCAAGAAGGCTGCCATTTGCCTTGTGGAGAAAGTGTGTGTGAGAGAAGCATCATTCAGGCCTGAGTTACAGTGCTGTTAGCTACAGGCCAAAGTTAAACAGAATCACATATAAAACAAGGTTATATGTTGAAGGTTGATTAAAATGTTATAACCAGAGGCTCGTAGGAACCTAACAGTATTTGTGAACTTGATGTTCATGGTGACTTCATAGGACATAATTACTGTGAGTAGTAAGGATTGCTTGTATGAGGCTGGGGATATAACTCAGTGGCACAGCACCTGCCTGGCAAGTGCAGGGTCATGAATTTGATTCCCAGTACCCCCCAATTGCTTGTATCTACTTCAGAAGAATGTGTAGGAGCTTAGAGATAATGACTATAAAACCTGTGTATCTGATATAGTAGTATCTGTTCAAAAAAATATCTGCTGCTATTTTGTTGTTAAAGGCCCAGTAAATAGCACTTGCTAAGAGCCAAAGCTAGGCCTGGATGATATAGGGAGACAGAGGGATCTGAGCTGGATCTCTGATATGTAAATAGGAGGGGCAGAGAGGAAGTAGATACTAGATAGGCAGTTAGAAAAAGACAGGGCAATAGCCAGGCATGGTAGCACATGCCTGTAGTCCCTGGCCCTAATTCCGTGTACTGATATGTACAGAGCTGGCTAGGAAAATACTTTACCCCCTCAATTGGCTTTAAGCAATGCAAATGGGTCTAGCAGAGACGCTGAGGTGTAGCCTTTGACGCTATGGGAAAGGTCAGCGATGCCCCCATCTACAGCTCCCAACTAGTACGCGTGAGCTAGGCCAAGTGTTGTGCTGTTGGCTAAGACTGAGGCTTGAGAAAGAACCTGTGATGTCTCAGGGCATGGAGGCCAGACATCGAAGCTGAAGCACCAACCCAAAACACAAGATACTTCCTTAAACTGTGTTATGCAGATTCCTCCACACTTAGGGGCTACCTGCTACAGGGAATCCCATACTCTTTCTACATAGCTCTCTCTGCATATTGCAGAGGTGCGATCTTGTGTCCTACCTAGCCCAGCTCACCATACTCCCGTTCCTCCCCCCTTTCTCAAAGTCACTCAACCCCAAGCCACTCCCCTATTTACGAATTAATAAAACCTGGGTTCGGCCCGGGTCATGTCCTTTGTTCCAATTAGCCATTGTTCTGACTGGACTTAGGACTCCCTTGGCTCCCCACCACTATAGATATGTGTTTGTCTCTTTATTCTCACTGCGGGTTGCACTGGAAGTGATAGATTGGAATTTATTTGCTAGAACTCCAATAACGTTTCCCTGGGATTACAAATACAAACTCCTCTAGATGGCAACAAGGCTGGTAGAACAGGCTTTCTTTGGTCACCCAGCTCATTAAGTCAGATTCAGAGATATTTGAGATTCAGAACCCTGCTCTGGGTCACGCTTTGCCCATTCAGGGCCCTGACTTCTGTATGTATGACTGATGCCCTCAAGGTATGTTGTGAAAGGAAAAGAAGGGCAGAAGACAGGGAAACAGAGGAAGAACCAAGGTGTGATGGCAGCACCAGCAGCTACTCCAAACACCTGCTTGAGGTAGGCTCCGGATGGGCTACTCAGACACACCACAAGCCCTGGCCTCAAGGAGCATGCTTTTCAGTATCGCTCTGAGCCTCCAGCACCCACAGGCCCAAGACCTGGGGTCTGAATGTCAGCCAAATCACTCTGTCCTCAGACTGCGTCCCCTTATTCCAAAAGCCCGAGGCCACGCTGGGACTGCACACTCCGGACCACACTCATCCCCCCCCACAAGGGTATCTTAGGAGAGGAGTCAGACCACTTACCCACTGTGAGCTCCTCCACCCTGTGCTTGTGCTCCTTGGGGGCTTTCCAAGGTGGTGGAACCTACAGAGGCAAGAAGGCAGGTGATTTGCCTAAAAAGCTGTAACCTGCCTCTAATCCTATACCAGTCTCTGCAGTCCTCTTACAGCTCAGAAATGCAGAGATTTCCTCACAAAACCTGAACCCCTCTTTTCTCCTCCCATTGTCTCCTTAGGGCCCTCTCTCCCCCAGAAATGCAGGTCGAGTTCTCATATCTGCTAGCTCTGGTTTGCCCGATTCCTCTGCCTGGGCCTTCTGGCCTGGCTACACCTTCCCACACAGGCTTCCCCACCACCTGGGTGAACAGATTATAGGGTAAAGCCACTGGAACCCCCAAGGCCATCCTGGCCCAATCCTAGTTCCCACAGCCCTCACCGAAAGCGCCGACTCCAGGCTCAACAGCAGGGACCCCAGGAGCAGTAGAGCCCTCATGGCGTCTGTCTGTTGGTCCAGCTGCCTACCCAGGAGTCCAGATCAATTGGGCTGGTCAAAGGTCCCTGAGGCTTGGGAAGTGAATGTTGGCCAAACTGCCCTGGTGGGGCACAGGCTGTTTGTGGAAAGCCAAGCAGAGTGGCTTCCTTGGTAGGCCCCAAGGGAAGGGATGGGGGTGGGGTGGGGCTACATCCTTCTTGTCTTCTGGATAGTGGGACTGGACTCAGTACTAGGGACAGTCTTGTATCCTAAGTCCTATTGGAGATCAGAGGGTTAAGCCAATCAAAGAGAAGCCCCCTACTTTAGGAGTCTTAGCATCCATCAGGAATTATTAGCTTTCTATAGCTGCATAAAAAGTGACCACAAACTTGGCAACCTAAACAATATCCATTTATTGGCCCACAAATTCATAGGTGAAAATGTAATTAGGTTTTATGCTCAGAATACTGTTTCACAAAGGTAAGATCAAGACTGAGTTCATGGCCAGGCGGGGTGGTGCACGCCTGTAATCCCAGCACTTGGGAGGCTGAGGCAAGAGGATCGTTGTGAGTTCAAGACCAGCCTGGGCTACAAAGTGAGCTCAAGGCCAGTCTGAACTGCATAGCGATACCCTGTCTCAAAAAGACAAAAAACAAAAACAAACAAAAAAACCCACAAAGACTGAGTTCTTCTGAGCTCATTCAGGTTATTGGCAGAATGCAATTTCTTGTGGTTATAGGACTGAGCTCTCTGGCCAGGGGCTACCCTTAGCTCCTAGATGTCACCTGCATTTCTTGCTATGTGCTCCCTTCAACGTCAAAGCCAAAAGAGACTCTCCCTTGTGTTGAATCTCTCATAGTTTGAATCAGTTTTGCCAGGGGGAAAAACATATCTCTTTTAAGGGCTCACTTGATTAGGCATAGCTCACTGAGGATAATACTCCTACTTTAAGGTCAACTGATTGGGACCTTCATTATACTTGTAAAAAAAATTTTTTTTTCAGAAGGACTGGGGGGTGTGGCTTAGTGGTAAAATACTTCCCTTGCATGTTAACTCCAGCACATGCCTATATTCAATCCCCAGAAACACCCCCAGACACACACACACACACAAAACTACTTTATAGAAAATCTGGATCAGTATTTAACTGAATAACTGGGAGAAAGTGCACATAAATCAGTATTTAACTGAATAACTGGGAGAATGTGCAAATAAATAGGAATGGAGAGCTTAGGACCGTCTTAGAATTCTACCAGTGCCATGAGAAAAGTGTTAAACTGATGCATTAAAAGGTGCAGTTGGAGCACAGGGGAAAAGAAGAGGTGAATATATAGTGTTTTTCCTGCCCAGCATTCATTTTGCTACATTGTTTTTTGTTTTGTTTTGTTTTTGGTGCTGCCAATCAAACTCAGGACCTTGCACTTGCCAGGCAGGTGCTGTGCAGCTGAGCTATATTCCCAGCTTCATTCTGGTTCGGTGTTGACACCTTGATTTTCTGTAAGGAACTAACCCTCCCTCACTTCCTCCACGGACCTCTAGCTCTGCCAACCCTCCCTTCAGTTCTAGGCTGGGAAGTGTGGCCTGTGTCTGGCCAATCAGCACATAACATGGTCCTGTGTCTGGCCAATCAGAGCATGGCATCTCTAGACCACAATGACCGGTTCAGAGATAAGCACAAAAACAAATCAGACCAATCAGAGTCTGCCTTGGGACTTTTGCCAGAACTTTAGGGAAAAAGGTACTTCTTTCCACTGGGAAAGGTAGATGGTAGGCTGTATATACTGATGGCCTTCTCTGTCACTTTTGGCAGGTGTGCGTGTGTGTGTGTGGTCTGTCTGAAAATGAAGCACACACTTAGGAAGAGCAAAGCAAACAGGGAAAGAAGGGCAGAGGAATGCTGTGGCAGGCAGCCTCCAAGACTGCCCTGCTTTATCCTCACCTCCTGGATCCATGCCTTGTGTAGCCCCTTCTCACACTGAATCACAGCTGTATTGTGCATCAAGTAGAATATGCAGAAGTGATGGTGTTAGACTTCCAAGCCCAGTCATAAAAGGCATTGATGTTTCTATCCTGGTCCTTGGATCACTCATTCTGGATGAACCTAACTGCTGCACTGTGAGAACACTCAGGCAGCGTGCAGAAGCACATGTAGGAAGAAAGTAAAGCCTCCTGCCAGCAACTAGCACCAATCTGACCACCATGTGAATGCTGCAGCCCTGACATGTAGCTTGCAATCTCGTCAGGGACCTTGTATAAGCTTTCTATTATTAAAATAAAATATCTGAAACAAACTAACTTGTGAAGTCAAGTGATTTATTTAACTTTCAGCTTTGGGAGGCCGAAAGTCCAAACAGCATGGCCTAGGGCCTAGGCTTTCGTGAGGGTTCTCCTTAGCTGTATCACCTTGTAGAGGATCACAATGGTGGAACCAGTATAGGAGCAAGTGGTTGTATCTTGATCCATAAAGCCAGAGAGATGGGGAGAGACCAGGCCTGGATTTAGGAACTCTTTGGTGAGAACTAAGATTCTACTAGAAAATACTACAATCCACCTCAAGGACAATGCCTTCAGTGATACAGGCCCCAACACCCTGAGTGCCACACCTCTTCCCAATACTACAATGATGCTGGGAACCAATCCTCCAATATATGGGCCCCTGGGGAACATTCAATCATCTCCAAACAAGAGCAGACCTCAAGCTAGAATCATCCAGCTAAACTTCTCCTAAATTCCTCGCCATCAGAAACTGACAGATGGTCATAGATTGAAGTTGTTTTAAGCCATGAATTTTAGGGTAATTTGTTAGGGACAAATCGAATTATTAATTGAGAAATAATACTGATGGGTTGATTCCTCATGACTTTGAGAGCCGTGATCTATACTAGAACCACAACCTCATCTACCACAACCTTTTAAAATTTGTTTTTTATTTTGAAGCCGGACACGGTGGTGCAATGCTTGTAATCCCAGTACTTAGAAGGCTGAAGCAACGGGTTTACCTCATGTTTAAGGCCAGCCTGGGCTCCATAGTGAGTTCAAGACCAACCTGGACTATATAGCAAGAACCTATCTCAACTCCTCCCCGACGAAAAAATAAGTATTTTGAGTTGGGATTTTGCTAAATTACTGTGCTTGAACCTGTGATTCTCCTGCCTCAGCCTCCTGAGTACCTGGGATTATGAGAATGTACTATGGCATCTGGTCCGTTAAGACTTCTCAGTTATAGCTGAGTGTGGTGGCACATATCATAATCCCAGCACTCAGGAAGTTGAGAAAGAGGATTGTGAGTTCAAGGTCAGCCTGCATTATATAGCAAGACTCTGTCATTTTTTTTTTTTTTTAAGGACTTATCAGTCACATAGTTTGGGAATATAGCTCAGTTCATGGTGCTTTCCTAGCATATGCAAGGCCCTAGGTTTGATCTACAGCATCAAAAAAAAGTTCAATTATATGAGGCAATAAAACCAATTTGAATAGACTTCTGACCTTCAATTAAAGGAGTCCTCACTACACAAGGAAATGTATGAAAAATGAAGACAGAGTGTTAGATATTTACTAATCCTGCTACAAAAAAGCAAGATGTTTGAAGATTTCTTGGGACAGAAACACAGCAAAAGGAAGGCAGGAGGATTAGGACAGCTCTCCCACCACTAATTTCAAAGGGAATGTGTTGGAGTGGCAGCTGTTAAGTCCATGTTGAAGGCAAAACTAGGAGAGGGACTGAGGAGTTCATTAAAGTGAAAGCACTTTTGTCAGTTTTTGATTGCACTTGAGTATAGACCTTGCCCCAGGGGCAGACTCACACTGGCTCCTTCCTCCTGGGGAGAAGCCAGCTCTGCCTAAGAACAGACAGGGCCGTTTGAACAGCTCTGCCAATGAGCGGGGCTTTACAGGTGGGACAGAGAGAACAGGGCTCCCAGGAAGAGTGAGTAATACAGTAATACTAGGTAGGACATGCCGTGAAATGAGGAATGCGCTGAGCCAGGGTGCCTCGTAAGGAGTGTGAATGGAGGCACAAGGCCTGCTGGGACCAAAGCAGCTCACTTATGACCATTTGGACAATCACCGTCTATTCCTTTTCCTCTAGTCACTCGGTTTCTATCTGTGGGTCATCCTTCCCCAGTTGCATGGTGAAAGGGTGATTTCTAGAGAGCATCTCCCACTGTAGAAGCCTAATGGACAAGATAGACCTCTCCTTGCCATACCATAGTCAGAGAGATCTGCATTCAACGGTTACTCTGTCTCTCTCTTACCACTGTATCCAAGGATGGCAAGATGACTTGGAGGTCTGGTCGGGGGAGAAATCATTCATCCCCCCTCCATCAGTATGGAGAAAATAAAGCTTACCCCATCTTTTGGCTGAGGGTGGAGGGGAGATGTGATCCAGACCTGGCCAACCAGAATACCACCTCTCTCTGTTCTCAATGATTGGTTCAAAGTAAACAGTTGACCCAAATCAAACCACTGAGTGGTGGTGCCAGAATTTTTGCTGGAATTATCAATTCAGAGGCTTTGCCTACCACAGAGGTTGGCACACGTGTAGCAAGAGAGCCTGGGGATGCTGGCAGCTATCTATAAATCTCAGATGGAAAACCAGCTTGAGAAGAAATGTC